CTAGATATGCCTGTGTAAACAGTTTAGAGAAAAGTTGCATTATATCAGGAAAAATGGCATTGATATAATATAAAGACACCCCATCAAAGAAACCTCAACAGTTCAAATCAGCATGTTTCTCTGCAATTGTGATGTTTGCTACAAAAAAAGTTCCTTAATATAGTTATGAAAAAAAAAAGGTCTCCCCCTTCATACAACTCTGTGTAAATTGCACAATGAGTTTTGTTTGAAACGGTGTTCAGAGAGACCAACTTCGATAGTAATTCAATTTGCTTTTTTATAATCTCTTCTCAGCACCATTTTAATTTGTAATTTTGTTTGTTACGCTTGTTTGAGAGAAAATAAATGAAATATATATATATGTATAGTGTGCCTTAAATTCAAATTCACCCTTTATGAGCCATATTTAAATTTGTCGAGTTATTTTTTATGAAGGATGACTTTCTTAAAAACAATGTACTGTATATACAAAAATGACACATGCCAGTCAAACTATATATACCGTAAGCCAAGCTGAATTTAATGTGATTTAAGACAAGTTTACAAAAACATATTCAAGACAATCATCAAACTTACAAAATACATATATGTATAACATAAATAAATAACACTGCACAGGTGAGTAAATAAAAAGTATCGGCCACATCATAAATGTATAAAATAAGATATTGTTATATTTCAATAAAAACATGTTTCATGAACAACATAAATATAAGAAAATGATGGCGTAAAGTAAATGAAAGACAAAATCTGAAATAATAAACAGAAAGAAAAGGTTTAGCCTGTTGATTATCTATTGCATATTTCGTTAAACAGAGTGCCCTATATACAGTTAAATTTACCATTTATGAGCCATAATTTAAATCTAGTAAAACGTGTATGATATAATTTATACATTGTAGATAAAAGTGTTTTGCTATTTTCTATAAAGATATAAAAAGTGACTAATAATACAACAGTTGGACAACGATATTTAAACAATTACAAATACTAAGCACAAAATTACTAGCGATATTAATACAATGAAAGATTGGGGGTGGGGGGCAATAGAGATTTGTATTCATTACAAAATGGAAGACTCACCAAATTTGGCACATATCTTGGGGTAGGGGGGTAGAGGGCTGCTGGACAGGGGAAAGAGTAGTTTGGGAGGAAAGCAGACTGTAAACACAAATGTTCCAATAAGAACTGCAGCACTTTTTAAAGGCTTCAGTGCGACCTTAATTAGTGATACCATTTAACATACGCCTGACTGACTTAAAAATGCACACATTTGTATTATCTGTGAAAAATTGGATATTTAATGTAATTCCTCTTGTATAACCCCCCCCCCCTTGAACACAACATTGGGCCAATTTACCTTTGGGGATGGGGGTGGGGGGTGGGACTCGTACCCAGGCAATTCCTTTTTAATAACATGGCAATTTTTTGTTACTGTATGCTGAATTCAAAGTTAATATTTAAGAACATTCCAAGCTGAATTTAATGTGATTTAAGACAAGTTTACAAAAACATATTCAAGACAATCATCAAACTTACAAAATACATATATGTATAACATAAATAAATAACACTGCACAGGTGAGTAAATAAAAAGTATCGGCCACATCATAAATGTATAAAATAAGATATTGTTATATTTCAATAAAAACATGTTTCATGAACAACATAAATATAAGAAAATGATGGCGTAAAGTAAATGAAAGACAAAATCTGAAATAATAAACAGAAAGAAAAGGTTTAGCCTGTTGATTATCTATTGCATATTTCGTTAAACAGAGTGCCCTATATACAGTTAAATTTACCATTTATGAGCCATAATTTAAATCTAGTAAAATGTGTATGATATAATTTATACATTGTAGATAAAAGTGTTTTGCTATTTTCTATAAAGATATAAAAAGTGACTAATAATACAACAGTTGGACAACGATATTTAAACAATTACAAATACTAAGCACAAAATCACTAGCGATATTAATACAATGAAAGATTAGGGGGGGGGGGCAATAGAGATTTGTATTCATTACAAAATGGAAGACTCACCAAATTTGGCACATATCTTGGGGTAGGGGGTAGAGGGTTGCTGGACAGGGGAAATAGTAGTTTGGGAGGGAAGCAGACTGTAAACACAAATGTTCCAATAAGAACTGCAGCACTTTTTAAAGGCTTCAGTGCGACGTTAATTAATGATACCATTTAACATAGGCCTGACTGACTTAAAAATGCACACATTTGCATTATCTGTGAAAAATTGGATATTTAATGTAATTCCTCTTGTATAACCCACCCCCCTTGAACACAACATTGGGCCAATTTATCTTTGGGGGTGGGGGGGGGTGGGATTCCTGCCCAGGCAATTCCTTTTTAATAACAAGGCAATTTTTTGTTACTGTATGGTGAATTCAAAGTTAATATTTAAGAACATTTGTAAAAGTCATATCCTGGGCTTATGTCTGAGGAAAGGCTGGTAAATAAAATTGGCATAAACCCTAAAGTCGTCTTGTACCTGAAACAACTACATCAAAACAGGCGTTTATTGGAACATTTACGTTAAGGATAGTTATGGAGGAGAGCCTATACCTGATAATAATAATGCCATCATGATTTTAAATCAAGATATTTTTTAATTGTTATTTATGCTTATTGTTCCTATTAACTTCCAATTTAAAAAATATTGCAAATAGGATAACAAAATCTTTAAACGTAAACTAAAAGTGACAATATTTGACGGATAATAACCAGTATACAATTCAATATTGCAATTATGTTTACCTAAATATTTATAATAAACATAAATATTCTGTGAAAGATAAAGGGTTGCTCAACTATGAACTTATTTTGGAGTTAAGTTGCACAAACAATATATAGATTATTGTGGGAATCGAACCAGTGACTTTCAATGTACTGTTCCAACAATGCCAACTCAAGATAAACCACTCAATACTTTGGCAATGATTTTTTCCATTGTAGAAATTTTTTAGGAGTTAGCATTATATACTTACTTATAGAATTATTAAACATTTATATCACCAAATAATTTTTCTAAAGGGATATTTTAAAAGATATTTAACGTGTGTAGTGTCCTTATCATAAAATATGTACGCCATTACCATAAACAATATGTTCAGAGCCAAAATTGGTTTATGTTTCTTTAAACATGTTAAACTTAATCTTACATGCAAAATTTAGTCTTAATTCGTCGGACAAGTGAAGTCTAAATAGAAAATTATTTTCACACACTGAACCGGATGAAATGTGTAAATAATGGCTGGTACAGGCTGTACTGGTACCTGCCTACAATAGGCGCTTAAGGAAAAACAAATGATTTTTTATAAAGATTAACAGTAATATTAACTCTTGTAAATCGCCAGTACAGAATAAGTTGTTATCGCCTCAAAGCACTTTAATTAATACACTTTGTATTTTGATACACAAACAGCCAAGTACTGTATATGAAAACTTTACATACATTTAAAATGTAAAAAAATACATCATAAATATAAACAGAAAAACCAAATGCAGATTGCTGATATTAATCGTCTGTTAATTACTACCAGTGAAAGTTAAGTAGATTTTTTAGAAAGCTCGGTCCAGACTATCAACTTTCCTTTGACAAATATATATAGTCATGATGTGCCTATATATGGTCATGATGTGATGTCATCAATGACCATATTTAGGCATATCACATGTTTTTGTCAAATATATATTTGATAGTCATGACATGGCTTTAAAATCAGTCTGGAAATTATGAAAGAAATTTGAATGCAGTGCTGTGATGGTGACAGTTATAAATATATCAAGTTACTGAATGTAAGAAGGGAGTGAAATAAAAACAAAAAAAAAGATAAGAGAGATGAAAAAAGTAAAACGAAATTTAATATATTTGGTTTCTCATGGGATGTGTCGCTTATGGTATTTGTAGAATCAAATTTATGGTCATTTGCAGTCAATTAAGCAGTCAGTTAATCAATCAATCAATCAATCACTTAATCAATAAGTTATTCATTAATACCACAATGTTAATTTGATCTATGACCATAAATCAATCAATATTTTCCAGTAATTATTAAAATATTTGCATAAATGCACAATTTTATCATTTAATAACTTCTTGTTACAGATGCTCATACTAATTAGCATAAATTAATTATAGAAATTTTGGAAGAAATATTACTTGCATTAAGATCAATGTAGTTCCCAAATTGTCATTTACTTACTCCAGTAAATTTCTGGAGGATTGTTTGAGTACACTGTACATTTTTTTAAAAGTATCAAATTTCACATACTTTAATATCATTTTACTTAAATAGTATCTTCTGGCATATCAATACTAGATACTGGCTTACAGTATTAATTTATAATTTCAAATATATTTTTATATGTAAACATTCATCCTTACAACAGCCTAACAGAAAATAAATTGAAATTTTGAAATAGGATAACAAGGTATAGAGTAATGATACTTGCTAATTACCCTTGAAGAGTAAGGCGTTCATTCTTTAGTAAAATGTTTATAAATTGAGTTAGGGTTGGCAAACTTTATTTTAAATTTTTGTAAATGCTAGTGTTTATAATTTGGTTAATTTAACGATAATGTGTTTTCTTTTTTCTCATGTATCTTTATTCACCTTTTACATTACTTTCACATTGACTTTTTGTTTACTTGGACCTGGCACTTAAAGACCTTCTTTATTTACGCTTATAAATCTACCTACAGTGTATTACTATTATATTTATTATTTGATATTATAATTTATTTAATGTGTTACTGAATTATAGAATATTAAAATTGCATTTAGTTTTCCATTTATTGAGAAATGGAATGTCCATAATTTGAGTATGTCATTATCTTCAATTCAAGAAAAATATAATGGAAATTCCATAATTTTAGATTTAAGGGAGATAAGCAGATAAGATGATGACACTATTAATAAATAAAGACTAAGACATTTAAAAGCAGGGACAATAATTTTCACCTTTATCTCCTCAATGTTTGTTATTGATTATCTTCACTGTAAAATACCATGCCACGTCTATGCATCTGTTTATTTTGAAGCATTTGATTCCGTTCAACAGAATCATCTTCAGAATGACACAGATTATCATACGATGATCCACTTAATGATTTAGAGACTAGCGGCACATCGAGTAATAATCCTGTTAAGCCGTTCAAATTAGTGTCCAAGCACAACGCATCTAAACCAGAGTTCAGACTGGCAACTGTATTTTTATCAACCTGATCCATTTCATCGCTGTGTACACGATTTACGCTACGTTTTGTGGGAAACGTGTTGTATTGCGTATCGCTCTGCTTAACTTTTCTATCTATGGTAACATTTTCGAGTTCTCTTATAAGTTCTTCCACTTCCCTTGTTGCATCATCTATACAAACGTCCTCAGCATGTTTTGCCGCTTTTGATCTGCGAGGAGATGGACTCAGGAAAAATGGTTGTGCATTGTTCATATGACTAGTATGCATAATATTATTATTGGAATTGAAATTCAGCGGTAATGCATGGATTCCTTGTTCGTTGTAACGTCCGAGTTCGAGTTCATTCTCTAAGATCTTTTCATAATCGATCCCGTCGTCTGAGCGCAGGGAATTGATTTGCGAACTGCCATCGCTTGATTTGTCACTTGCTTGTGAACTGGTTTCATTAAGTTCTTTCATTGAAGGGCTGTCAGTTAGATCCTCTGTTTTTGTTTTTCGTTTAGGTGTAATGCGTTTTCCAAACATTGGTTGATAGGCCTTCTTCTTTTTAAGTGAGTTGTATCGTCCACCCGGTAATGCTTTCGCACGGTTATGCTCTTTAATTATGCTCCTGAGGGATTTCACAAATGATGTCTTCTTGGCCAATGTGCTAAATGAAAAGAAAATAGAAAAATATTTGAAAAATCCAAACAACTTCAATATTCCAACAAAATAAATTAAAAGGAATTATTTCAGAAAATTACTTAATTGGTACGGTGCAACACAATCGCAGATGATTTGGGTTTATAATATTTTCAGAAACTTTATTACAAATTATTGGAGCGATAAAAGGTGCGTTCTCAACTATCTCAACATGTCATGGCTAGATATGAAAATTGAGTACATCGCTAACAAGCACAAAAATTTCAAATTTAGAATAATAAGAAATAATAAAGTAATTAATTATTATATGATGGCTTTATCGTATAAATTATATTAAGATATTTCACCCACCAGCAAGAGAATTGGAACAGCTTTTCTGGACTTCCAGCTGACTTGACGTGCACAAGCTCCCAAAGACTTAAATACTCAGTGTCTAAAATAATTAATTTGAAGAAAAATTAATTAAATAAAATATACATTTGCTATGACAATAACAGAATATTAAATAGCATGAAGATTTAATAATAGATACCAGCTTCCACAGACTGAAAATAATTACTTAAAGAAAAATTAATGAAATAAAACATATATTTATTTTTAATATAACAGAATATTAAATAACAGTAATATTGAATGTCAGTAATTTTAACTAATTTATAACTTTAATAATTTTTTAATGCAATGCAATTCAATGTTTAATCTGTATTTTCTATTAATTTGTAGATTTGTTGTTGTGTAATGTCTCTGTTTAATAAAATTATTTCTGCAATTCAGCTTTTGTGGCAATAGAATAATTTTATGGATTTTTATATTTGTATATATTTTTTGAATAAAGAAACAATAAATGATAGTAATAATAATAATAATAATAATAATAGATGAATCATAAATTTTAAATAAAAATTACACATGTACTAACCGTTTACGGTGCTTTCCCGCACTTGAAGGTAGGCAACAGGAATCATCCACTTAAAACGAATCACTTCATCCGAGGGATTCCCTTTCAGTGTTCCAGTTGCATTTGTTGGATACTTACTCCTTCGCTTGTTCTTTTCCTTATAAATTATTACGATCGCTGGCCGGAATACTAAAGACAATAAATAGAAACTCATAAGTGGGATTCTATTTTTAGGAAAATCTGTTAATGTGTCTATTTTATACTTAAATAATTTATTATTTAATTGTGTTTAATATGATCCATTGGTTCCCAATACGATCGTTAACACTGTCGCTACAGTGTTTTCAATGTACTGCGTAGCAGTGTCTGACGCAATCAGGAAGATTCCAACCAATCAGCATCAATGAAAGCTGTCGGCAAGAGCGTGTAGCGATCATATGGAAAACAACGAACTCTAATGCTTTGATCACACTATCAAATTATTTTTGACAAAATACTGTTGTATGCCCATATATAGCCATGAAATGCCTATATATGGTCATGATGTGATGTCATCATGACCATATTTAGGAATGTCACATGTTCTTGACAGATAAAATTTGATAGTCTGGATAGTCCCCACTATCAAGTTTAATGTGACAAATGTTCTATATATATGCCCACATATAGACATGATGATGTCATATTATATCCATATATGGATAGAGTTCATCTCGCTGTTTCGCTTTGGTACAATGTAGGTATTTTGTAAGGGGAACTAATCTTTCAATTGGACCTACTTACAGACTGGGACACCTTACCAAATATAATTACTTCTGGCTCTTTTCCCTTCTTCACCTTTCCAATGTCATCCTGGCAGTTCAGCCATCTTGCATTCGAATACATCAACAGGTCATCCATAGCTAGGTCAGGTACCTAAGGTCAAAGGTGAAAGTTACATTAGTTACAAGTAATTACAGGACAGAACTATTTATTGCAATTTTAAGTACCATTATGAGATTTAGGGAGTAAGTAGTCATTCGGATCTCAACCAGGGCTTTTGGAATTGGGAGGTGGGCACCTCTACCAAGTTAAAACTTCCAAATATCTTAACATTGCAGAGAACTACAGGCAATAGAATGCACTTACTTTATGAACAAACAAATTTACTTGTCATTATATTATATTTAATAAGATCAAAAATCACCAGTAATGGACAGTTCTACTTTGTTGTGGGGGTGTTCTTAAAGCCGGGAACTCACTGCGGCGTACAATGACGACGGCTACAACTCTGCTTCCTGTAAGAGTCTGCAGTCTGCTGATTGTCGGTGGCAGTCTCAATAGACTGTCATTAAAAATTATCCTTTACGTGTGCGTCGAGTCTTCGTGTTTTACGTAGAATCGCGTCGGCCGACAACCATTGAATGCAGTGAGTACCCAACTTAAAGGAACTGACAATTATTTTATCATGGTTTAACCAGGGAAGCATTCATAAAGTGAAAAATTAAATTTGGGTATTGGTGAAAAACTCATGCATTGTGTAGAGAGTGAAAAACAAATAACAGCATTAAAAATATGTTACAGATATTACAAGCTATTATTTAACCCAGCAATAAATAAGAAACAGCCTTTTTAGTTTTTAGTTTAGCAGAGCGTGGAATTTTGTTGACTTAATTTTTAAAAGCTTACAGGAATATACCAAATGAAAGCAAAATAGCAAGTGAAACATGTATGAGCAAAATCTAACTGAAAACATGCAATACCAAACCCATATATCTAAATTAATTCTGCTGCATAGTACTGTAAAAACAATATAATACAAGCAAATAGGAACATGATATTGTAATCATATCAAGCATAGCCCTTCAACAAAAAGTTCCTTATTTTCAGTTGCATGAAAAAAAGTGTCTCCGACGGGATTCGAACCTGCAACCTCTGCTACAAAGGCAAGTATCTACCATTAGACAACTACGACCTTCAGATCTAACCCCCAGACACTTATCTCATAACAACTGACTGAAAAGCTCACATGTGGTGGAGTTAAGATTAAGTGAGAACAGCTTATAGGTCACAGCTTGGAAATCATGGAATAAAATTTAAATAAAGTTTGATGCGTAGCACCATAAACACACAAATACAAACAAACAAATAAAAATAACAATGCTTGAACAGGAACATGATGTTTTAATCATATCAAGCATAGCCCCGGTGCAATTGTTAGGTGTTTTTCTAAATGAGGCTCTGGAAGGGGTGGTTATGCGAAGGTGGTTTCTATTCAAAGTGGTTCATTTATTTGAATAAATACAATAGTTACAGTTACAGTATTAAGGTGTAACCAGTCTCTGACTATTTACAGGATTAGTCCCCATAGGCTCTTAGGTCAAAAGTCACCATTATGGTTTAATCTATATCAAGTGCAAAGACAAAGTTTGAAATTCTATAAATCCACAGCCACCAACTATTAATATCATGCAAGAGAAAATTCATGCATTTAAATAGGTGAAAGTAGTATATGAATATTTAGTAAATACATAAAATTGTGGAAAATTATAACAGACAGTAATTAAAATGATGAAATATGGTTGAAATTGGTTCATTGATTAATAACTGTACTTTGATGTAAGAAAATAAGAAACATTTGAAGCGATGTACAAAAGTATCAAATTTTGTTTGACAGAAACATGTGACACGCCTAAATATGGTCATGATGACATCACATCATGACCATATATAGGCACATCATGTCTATATGGCCACACAACAGAGATCACATAACAGGATCACAAGAATATTAAATGACCCTGCTTTAAAAAAATACATGATTTCTGGTATGAGTTTTTAAACCATAGAGGATTTTAACTAAAATTTCCTTTCATGTAACTCTAAAAAGCACTCAGCCATTCTACCATTTCTTACATCAATGTACACTGCATCATCTAGGAATATTAATATTGAAATGATAATGATATTGATAGAAGGATTATTTATAGTTTAGAAGTGAAATACTTGCCTTGTTTCCAATCGACTGAACGAGAGAAGAGATGAAGAGGAAAGAAACATGGATGAATTAAAAGAAAAACAAACCATTCAATAAGAAAATTAATCGCAAACATGTGCAGATTTTTTTCTGAATGCAATAATTTATTTTGCCACAAACTGCAGCCATAGTCCAAATAAAAATTCATTAAAATAATTAATAAATTTCTTTGATGCATCAATATAATTAAAATAAAAAAAATCTAATTCTACATATAATATATGATTGAGTTTATAATCAATTAAAATGCATAAGTTCAGTATTTAAACAACAAAACAACAGAAAATAAGACATCATTTAAAAGAATATAAGAAATAATACTGTATCTCATTATTAAAAATCTACTGTTAAACTGAAAACGATTTAATAAATATATACAATATTTTATATTTTAAAATTCTTGAAAAATTATAAGCTTCAATTAAAAAGATTTTTTTGGCAACGAGCGAATGCATAAATTATACTATACTATTTCTGAACTAATTTAAGATTTCTTTTAATAAAAAAAAATTTGTATGTCAGCAAAATCTGAATTGTGATCTGTGTTGCATTAAAATTTGATAAATAAAAATTTTTTTTAATTAAATTGATGTATTTTTTAGATTTTATCAGAAATGTTTTTAAGATAACAAAAGAAAATAGAACTGCATATCACACAAAAGAATATGAGGTAATATAATGTGACATTGTTAATTTTCAAAATCACAGCAAACTATTTACTGTTATATTTATTAGCAAATCAAAATGTTTGAATTACTACAACTTAAGTGAATTTAGTCATTACCTGCCTTCCCCCAGTACCCTTTTCCCCCCTCCCTAATATATTCCATTTAGTTTACCTCTTTCAAAACGTGGTATTGTTCCGACACTAACGAGTCAAATACTTCACCGAATTCTTCATGTACGCGCATCATTTCATTGATGTGTTCGGCTACACGTTCCATTCCTTTCAGCGCTTTGCTTAGGTTTTTATATTCCTCACTTTCCTTTTCAATACTACTTCTCATTTCCATGATCAGTAGCGGGTATTTTAACACCCTCTGTGCAAAATTGAAATATAATCATATATAAATTTTTTAACATATTACACATACTGTCTACACAAGAGAGAGGTCTAAGTATACAATGCTACATTAAGCTAAAAATCTTAATCTTTACCTGGATTGGTTTGATCAAGTATGATGCTAAAGATGCGGAATGCTGATGCTTTGGGTTTCTGGCATCGAGGAATGCCATGAGGGGGGCATTGTCTGATGCCGGTTGAAGGATCTTCTGTGCCTTGGAATGACTCGCGCAAAAGGAGCTGTACAACTTGAAGTAGTCCATGTACAGGAGAAACGAATCGCCAATGGAAACTAATACAGGCTGAAAGATAGATCAGTCACATAATGTTACTATACAATTACATATTTTATCTGTCAGATCAACAAATAATGTTTGATAAGACAGTCTGATAGTTTAATCACATATTTGATCAAATGAAACAGGCTACATAATCAACAGTAATATAATGAAAAGCTGTCCAGACAATCAAATTTTCTTTGACAAAAAACAGCTGTATGCCTATATATAGACATGATGTGCCTATATATGGTCATGATGTGATGTCATCATGACCATATGGCATATCACATGTTTTTGTCAAATAAAAGATTTTGTCTGTCAGACACAAAATTGTTTGATCAGACTTTGATAGTGTATGCTTGTTTCAACATATCTGCTGAAGGATAGACAATCATCAACTTCATCAGACTAAATTAACTCTTTTGACCTTGCAAGGCTAAATTTTTCTGTATATATTATACCAATTTCTGGAAAACTTTTGGAACCCCTTAATTAACATATTGTTGCAAGAAACTTGTCGGTATCTTTGACTTACTTTGAAGGCTGTTGGGTCAGTGAGATTTGTAAATCCAGACTCTACTTCCAGTGAGTCTTCCAAACATCCTAGGAATGTCTTCTGGAATTTTATTATTTCTTTCACATTGCCAAATAAGGAATCAATCTGAAAGAAACAAGAATAAAGATTAGGGTCATTAGAAAGTATTTATTTTATCCATTACATCATTACTGATAACTATAAGATTATGATGAAGATAGGAAAAAACTCACTTCATCAGCAGAAAGGAATGATTCTGTCTGCAGAGGTTCCAGATACCTTCCCACCAGAACGTTTAAATCCTTAAGGTATCCTCGCTCTGTGTCAATCAGCTCCATGATCACCTTCCGTAGCCGACTCGCAGCGACCCGTTGATCCTCATCTGTACCGTTTGACATACTATCTGCAACTGAATTGTGCCGAGACGGCACCGTGCGACAAAGTTCTGTGAGCTGCTCGGCATCTTTGAGTAGCTGTTCAATCTCGCCTTTATCTTTGGCTTTGTTTTCTTTGTTCATTTCTTCCTCCTCGTTTGGATCGTACATGTATTTTAAACTCTTGGATGTGGAGTTCAACGAAGTCTCAGATGGAAGTTCATCATAATCCCCTTCCCCATCATCTCCAAAAACTTTGATGAAAAAAATAATACATAACAATATTAGATTTTAAAATAAACAATAACTTGTAAAAAGAGAAACGAGTTCATAATCTAAGTATAATAGAAGCAGTACTGTAAAAAAGATCTATTAAGCAATCTGCCTCATGAGGGCAGTATAATGGAGGGAGTAGAGCAAAACAGATCTATTAATCAATCTACTATTAATCAATCAGCCAATTGTTTCTAGAGCTCTTCATGAGGGCAGTATAATAAGGTAGTAGATCTAAAAAATATCTATTAATCAACTATTAATTAATCAGCCTCATGAGGGCAGTATAATAGAGGCAGTAGAGCTAAAAAAAGATCTATATATCAAACGGTCGAGTGTTTCTAGAGCTCCTCATCGGAGCTAAAAATAGACAAAACCTCATTCAAATATGTATGCCTGAGTACGAAAGAACATAAGATTTATAGTGAACTTGTAGCTTGGTGGTTAAGATGATTGCTTTCCAATCATGATCCTGAATTGAAATTTTGTGAAACATAATTATTTTATCTCATGAATGCAAATAATTCCACCCCCTTACCCTCATCTTGAGAATTTCAGTTTAGAGATTCTGCTACAGAGCCGCACAAATTTAATTCTAGGCTATAAGCAGTAAATCGATTAATTGAATTCTCCTTCTTCTCTGGGCTGATTCGGCTCATTCAAGCCATGAGCCTTACTTCGGCCAGTTTGCCCTTTCATAATCAAAATGCGTGAATGTGCTTATAGTCTTACTTGAGGGTTTTAGATCAGTATTTATTTGTCTTAACCAAGTGTTTTTTTTTTGTCCACTGTTTCCTTTTGCTAAAAGGTGTTGTTTTAATGCGATTTCTGTTGGTATACTTTTTGAATTAAACTTTGTTATAGTTATCGGAACTGACATGGTTTATGATGTCTGCAATTCAATTCAAACCCATAAAAAAAATCGTTCTCATTACAGATATTTGAATAAGCTCAAGAAGTAAACAGTTTAATCATACCATTGGGGGCAGGAATAACGAGATCATGCAGCATATCGTCGGTCAATCGCGACTGCGATGGTGGCGGTGGACACGTCAACTGATCAATGATCTTATTGGTCTCCTCCATTGCATTGGTTTGTGGGAAGATCGTCCTACACGATCGTACTGTTAACGTGAGGGTTGCTTCATTGGCTATCAGGTTCTCAATGTAGATCATGTCAAGATCGCAGACTACTTTGCCATTGATGACTAAAAGTTCATCACCAACTTGTAAATCTAAAACATAACGGATGGTAAAAATTATTATGTTGTGAAGATATCTTGTTAATAAGGAATTTGAATAATTAAACACATATAGACGAAAATATAAGCTATTTCTTTTAACCAGGAGTTGTATTTTATGACATTTTTTATCCTGAATTAAAACAATAAATGTTTTGTCCCTAAATGTTAAAGGAATATGTAAACAAATTGAATAGTGGATAATGATAAGGATAATAGTGATTATGTTAATAATGAATCTGATGATGATAATTATCATCATGAAGATAATTATAATTAAGTGAATATGATGACGATAATGACGAAGATAAAGATTACGCTGGTGATGAGGATCAAGATGTTGATGATAAAAAAGCTAATGAAGATGATAGTTGTATCGATAATTATGATTATTGTGGTGGTGATAATAATGATAATAATGATGATGATGATCATTATTATAGCAATGATGAAACTGATGATGTTGTTTATTATTACTTTAATGAAAACAACGATATCATTTGATAATGATCTCGATAATTGTGATAAAAATTATCATGATGATGTTGACAATGTGGCAATAAAGCCTAGGCTCAGAGTGAACTGGACCTTACTTCCAAAAGTAAATCGAGGGGACTATCCACAAATAATTTTTATTCTCTACCATGGTGACAAGCATGGCAATCTTTATCTGCTCATCACTAATAAACACACACAGCTGATGTTCTTCCTCCACAGCACCACTTAAACTAAATTGAGGGTGCTATTTACAAATCATTTTTAAATCTCTATAACCTACCATGGTGATATGCGAGGCAATCTTTTTCTACATCACTAATAAACACACACAGTTGGTCTTCCTGTTCCTCATTATCGCCTAGCTCAGCTTCAACTGAAAAACCTGATACATAAACAAATAAATTTCGTAGTTATAATTTATTCATATTCATTAAATATTCAGTAAAACCTATTTCTATCTAATATGAATACTATCTTTTCTTTGACTAAATAATAATGATGATGTTGGCTATAATAGTATGAATGATGGTAAAGCTGTTGATAATTGTCTGATAACTTATGATAATTTTTTCTATTTAGCATATACGATTAGTGGTGGATCCAGAAATTGGAAATAGATGGAGGGTCTATAGCACCAAACATGGTGGGCTGAGGTAAGAAAATATATGATAATGGCACCTATAGATGGCCAGAAATGGCACTCTCAGATTTAAAATTTGAGTATAATCTACTTTTTTTCGCCATTAGTTTTTCATTTTCAAAAATTTAGGGTGGGGAGAGGGGAGGGGGCTGGGCCTCCATTGAATCCACAACTGATGCTAAGCAGCTTTCAGTATATGGCAAATTCTACAAAAAAAAGTGATACCGTTAATACATTTAGGAAAAACAAGCCCCAGGTAGCCTAATATTTTTGAAACAAGTATTATTTTTTTTATTAGACTTTATTTTTGACAATATATATATATATACATATCAATGTATCTTTATTTCAGAAAATCAAAATCAAATATCATCGCAGCACAAAGCTGAATTCAGATAAAATGTACAAATAGTCGTCAAAGTATAAAAAATAATTACAGGACAAACACAAATTTACACCACAGAATCCAAAAATCACACAGAAACAACCAAATTAAACAAGATTATGAAACATTAAATTGGAATTTAAAAACCACATACATAGGTCATTATAAGTCATTGCAGAATCATTATTATTATAAACACTATCGGTAGTGTCACTTAACACACAAGTAAATACTCCATTCCAATAATATATATTCAAAGTTCTGCTTTTACAAATTACATTTGAACCTTTATGTACTAGTTCGTAAATCATTTAGTTTGTAAACAACATCAGCCGAGTGATATTTTTCACCGAATCACCAACTTCCTCACAATTTCAAAAGAAACGCTACGTGGAGATCTATAGGTCAACATAAATACGTGTGAAATATAGTATCTATTATCGAAGGTCGGAGTATTATATATAGTATCTATTATTAATGTACTATCGAAGTTCGCACTAATGTAAATTTACTTTAATATCAACATAAATTACTTCCTTGTTATTTTTACATTGTTTATAAATTCGTAAAAATATGTAATTATATAATAAGCAAAGAATATCTTTGAATAGAATTGTTTTATAGAGTGGGGATTATCCAGTATTATTTAATAATTATTGGAAAATTATGGTGTGTGATTATTAATATTCTTAATAACAGTTTTTATTATTATTATTATTATTATTATTATTACTATTACTATTATTAATATATTCTCACCAAATTTCATTTCATCGTTGAACATGTAGAGCTCCACTTGGTGAATGCTTTTTGCACAAATGATATATAGGTATCCTTATTTCGGGAAATCAAAATCAAAATATCATCTTAGCACAAAGCTGAATTGAGATAAAATGTACAAATAGTCATCAAAGTATAAAAAATAGTCTTAAAATTACAGGACAAACACAAATTTACACCACAGAATCCAAAAATCACACAGAAACAACCAAATTAAACAAGATTATGAAACATTAAATTGGAATTTAAAAACCACATACATAGGTCATTATAAGTCATTGCAGAATCATTATTATTATAAACACTATCGGTAGTGTCACTTAACACACAAGTAAATACTCCATTCCAATAATATATATTCAAAGTTCTGCTTTTACAAATTACATTTGAACCTTTATGTACTAGTTCGTAAATCATTTAGTTTGTAAACAACATCAGCCGAGTGATATTTTTCACCGAATCACCAACTTCCTCACAATTTCAAAAGAAATGCTACGTGGGGATCTATAGGTCAACATAAATATGTGTGAAATATAGTATCTATTATCAAAGGTCGGAGTATTATATATAGTATCTATTATCAATGTACTATCGAAGTTCGCACTAATGTAAATTTACTTCAATATCAACATAAATTACTTCCTTGTTATTTTTACATTGTTTATAAATTTGTAAAAATATGTAATTATATAATAAGCAAAGAATGTCTTTGAATAGAATTGTTTTTTAGAGTGGGGATTATCCAGTATTATTTAATAATTATTGGAAAATTATGGTGTGTGATTATTAATATTCTTGATAACAGTTATTATTATTATTATTATTACTATTACTATTATTAATATATTCTCACCAAATTTCATTTCATCGTTGAACATGTAGAGCTCCACTTGGTGAATGCTTTTTGCACAAATGTCAATTTCATCAAATTTCTGAAAAGAGAAAAAAAAATATCAATAGAATGAAACATAGAATTTCACTTCATAAATCATAAAAAATAAGAAATATGTTTCATAAAGCAAATATAGTAATTCAATTACAGCCAAAAAAAATCCTCTAAAAACTAAATACAGAAGTTTGTTATCATGCTTCATGAAAAAGCTGAAAATATATTTTAATTAAGCTCTATCGAGACTATCATATTCTATGACAAAAGGCTGTTGTATGCCCATATATAGTCATGATGTACCAATATATGGTCATGATGTACCAATATATGGTCATGATGTACCAATATATAGTCATGATGTACCAATATATAGTCATGATGTACCAATATATAGTCATGATGTACCAATATATGGTCGTGATGTACCAATATATGGTCATGATGTACCAATATATAGTCATGATATCATTATGATGTGTTTGTATATGATCACATATTTTGGCATGTCACATGTTTCTGTCAAATAACATTTCATTCTCTGTATAAGTCTTTACACATAACATTTTATTTGTTTATAAATTAATATATTAAATATTAAATATATTAAATAACTTTAACTTACCCCTAGCTCTACGACGACTGATTTTTCAGGAATTTCATAATTAAAACCAAATTTCATTGATTGCTTAAATCGTACATAAAAGTTGTGGTAATCCATTTGGCGTTGCTAAAAATGAATATTTAAAGTATATGATTAATAAGAATACAGAAATTAAAATCAAAATAATTACATTATTCAAGAAATGTTCTGAATGAGATTAATTTTTTTTTAAATATATAAACAGAATTCCCACATTTAAATTATCATATTTAAAGTTAATCGGTATACATACTACTACAAGAGTAGTAAAAACAACGTTGTCTATTGTCAAAACAACTTCTCTAACGTTGTCTATTGTCAAAACATCTTCTCTAACGTTGTCTATTGTCATACGAGTTTCATTTTCTGTAGTTGAAAATTATTTTATGATAAATTTATTGTCTCTAGTATTCCTCATGAAACATCAAGATTTTGTTATCATTTTCACTTTCACAAAACTGAATAATAATGCTTATGAGGCCAGGTAAAAAAAAAAGAGTAGTTTCTTGTCCTAATATCTTGAAGAAAAGAGAATAAGGGCACTCGTTTTTCTCCTCCGAGATGGCAAATCCAAGATGGTCGATGAGAACAGCTACTACTTTCTCACTTTTACCAAGTAGACACAATAAAACCAAATAAAAGAAGTACTAGACATGATTCTTACAATATGTATCCCCAACCATGAACAATTGAGAGAGGAATTTTACTGAAGTGAGTTAGCCAGATTTTCGTAAATTTCGTAAAATAAAGGGGAAAAAAAAAAATTGGTGAGGCAGATCAAATGGATGCGTGAAGGGACGAGAAACTAGTATTGGTCTTATAGCTTCTAGAAAAAATGATATACATTAAATACATCAATGTTTATTATTTCTCATAATGTAATATCCATTGACGAAAATGCTCTTATAATAAAAGCCAACACACTCTGCAATGTACTGTATTTCAGTGCATCAGTTTGTTTTCACTGCAGTGGATTAAAAATATGGAAATATATAAAATAAAATATATTAAATTTGTTGTATATATTTACTTATTTACTTAAATTAATTAATGGATGAATGGATTTTTATTTATTTATGCATATAAACTCACGCTGCAGCTAGAAACCAGTAAGTCTTGTACAGTCATTCCTGGCTTAATCGTTGCCATGACACTATGATTGTCCGGCAGTTTGATCTTAATAGTCATACCGTCGCAGTTGATGTCCGACAAGGACGACTCGCACCGAGGTAACTCCTCATGCTCCTGCAAAAAAAACACATGATTACACAATCAAAATTAAAATGGCCGTATAAATAATGCGGTGTCTTTAAGTGGTTCAAGCAATTACAGGACGGTGGAGAGATCATCGAGTGTTCGACTAATTACCAAGAACATAGAGTACAACGAATATAACAAATGCTAGTTAACCTTAATAAGTCTAAAAACATGACAGTGTGCACTCATGCAATCGAATATCAAGTAACCGTTTTAATTCCAAGGATCTATTTTAAAACCAACGACAACTTCTCCGAGATTTAGTCTGAATCTATAATGGTGTGTTAGTTTTGACATTTGAAATTGACCTACGAATCGGAACAAACATGGATTACAAATTAAGCCATACTTTAACATATTGACATAGTCAATCTATAAACAGTGCATCAATTACTAAGTACTATTATTTTTATTATTAATATTATTATTATTATTATTATCGTTATTAAAATAAATAAGTTTTATTTTTGTATTTAATGCCATAATAAATAAAAGAATGCTTTCAAATTTTATTTGCTTGTCGTACCTTTCATGTCATTGAAAGCTTTTATGACTGCTGAAATGCAAGATCTACAACGACCAATCACGGAGAGAGGGTTTTACAATTCAATACATTTTTTATTAAATTTCCATCATTCTTTACTTTGCTTAAAGGAAAGCAAAAATTTAAGCATACCAGCACATGTTACTGAGGAACGTTTATATCACATTTTATTGCTGCAATTAATAGCTATGTGGTGGTTTTTACGACAACAAAATACTTCAAATTTCAAAGGCTTGCTAAGGTACAAATTTAATGACATTCATGTCAAAATGTCTATGACCAACTATGAATTCTTGGTAAAGCAATGAGAGTAGGTAAATAAATAATTAACAAATTAAAATGAATAGTAAATTATTGGTCACTTTGTGATCAAAGTACCACTATGAACTCCGGGTAAAGTAATGCAATATGGGTAAAACAAAGACCTCAAGTTCAATGCCAAGTCTCTGCACACAGGACAAAGATCTTATAATTACAAGATAGCGTTCCTGCAATTTCTGCATGCAAGTTCTGTAACAACGCAGCGTAGGGTGCCCTCCTGCAATTACAATTGCTTTTGAACTTTGACATCTGCGATCTACGTGCAAATTCTGAAACAAAAACCATGGTTACAACTAGGACGCCTCTCTCAGTTACAATTGTTTTCTATTGCTTTTCACTGAACTGAACTTCTATTTGTTATATGTTAGAGTACATAAATGGAAACATGGGCCAGATGGAGCCCGGAATTAAATAGTTGCATGGCAAGGAATATGCCCCTGGGAGCACGAAAAGCTTGCACATGATACATACGGTCGTATATCTATAAGCACCGACATTGGGGAAGGATGTGAAGAGGAAGGGGGTGGGGATGTTGAAGAATTGGAAGGAGCACCATGCGGTGATATGACACGATGTTCAAATACTTGAGACTATGAGAGTCATTTTTTGGCTCAGCAAGCTTCTATGTGAGTGGGGCATTTGACAGGCACAAACTTTTTCTGAAGGGGAGAACTTTTAAGAGAAAAATCTTAAAAGTTTTAAAAGCACACTTTTTTTTCAACAAAGAGAAAACCTTTAAAAGCACAAATTATTCTGAAGAGGGGAACTTTTAAAAAAGTCTCCAACTTTTTCTGAAAGGGAGAGAGGGAGGGCATACACCCCCACGCCCTCTCCATGTCATCCTTTAGTGGTGTGGGGGTTACATGGCTGTATCCAATAACCAGTAATAATTATTATCTGTACCTCAAAATAGATCACTAGATAGAAGGCAAATAATAAATATTTATTATTTAAAAATTATTATTTATTTATATAAATAAAATATATAAATTTAAAAAGAAATTAGAATTGAAATTGTTAACATTTGAATGAAATAAATTGAGAGTGAGAGAGAATATTTATTGGACAAATGTAATCCCTAACATCTGTTACCAGTATGTATATCACCAAGTTATATGACCAAACTAATTGACAGATAGAATCCTCGATAGGAACGTTTAATGTTTTAATGTTCGCATTCTTTTGCTTTCGAGATCAAAAGTGATAAAACGTTGATTCATTCGCTACAGCTTTCATCACGCTAATGACAAATCAAACATTTATATCCATATTAAGTATTTCGGGTATTTAAATTCTTTGTATGTTAAACCTTGGGCCCTTTCTTTAGACTCTTTAATGAATGCATTTTTCATTTATTTTTTCTGCTTTCAAGCTTCTCTATAAATCTTCGTCATTTTTTATTCCATTTTACTTTTGGGATTTTCTGTTCTTTTTTTCTTCGAGTGTCTTGAGTGAGTTCATACAGATGAGGACATATTAATATTATTTTATTTTACTTTTATTCCTATTGTTGTTGTTGTTGTTTTACATCAAATTATTCAGAAATTTGAATACAATGTAAAATGTGACAAAGCCCACACAGAGAATGCATTATGAATAGAGCAAGTTTTTGCCTCATGGCTATGAGAAGATTCAAGCCAACCTGAAGTACAGGTCATGACCTTTGCTTATTACTACAATATATATTACTACTGTATTGTGCTAGATTTATACATTACATTTTATTTGGGTAACTATATACCTTTTTTTAATCTCATTTTCTTTACTGTCTCCTTTTTTTATACTTTACTTTTCTTCCTCTCTTCATTCACTACTCTTTTCTCCTTTAGTCTACTGAATTTCTCTGTTTCATACGTTCTCCATCTTATTGTTACTTCCTTTTTTACCTGTAAACTACCTCATATTATTTTCTTTATTTACATTTTTTTTAGAATTAATACTTACATCTTGATGATGGCTTCCATTCATTATATTTTCATGTTCATCTTCATTTTCCTGTGTATTGCTTCTAGAAAAAAATAAACAATAATTCTATAAATATTGGAATTAAGACAATAATCTACTATAAGTACTATTACAAAATAGGACAAAACTATTGTTTAAAATTATATTTTTTTCTTTTTTGTATCTCCTGAATTCAACCTCCAAAATTACCTTTTGATGGTTAAAATATTAATGAAAAATAACATTTAAATTAAGGTTCAATTTTTCAATATTTATTTTCCATACAATGCAGTAATAAAAAAAATATAGTACAGTAAAATTGAAACAAATAGTTTACATGAAAGTAAATATTATGTTGCCTATTTAAGGTAGAAAATAAAAACATTATAATTAATAAAAAATCACACAAAACAGTTTATCGGTAGAAACTAGGACAAATGTAAATTTGTATTTTGTGACCGATTTTTTAATCATATTTAAAAATCTTGTAAATTTTTGGATATTTGAAATATTAATGAACAATTGTATGTTGGCATTCTAAGTTACAAATTAAAAACATTATAATTTTAACCAGAGCCTTGCAGGCGTCAACGTTCCTATGCATGATACATGACTTAAAAAGTATATGTATATGTAATATGTATATCTAAGGTAGGAAAACCCTTACATGAGAGAGGCATGAGATAATGGACATTACTGGCAACCCACTATGGCCGACGCGGGTCTAAATGGGACGACCAAAATTTCTAAATTCTAAATTTGGAATAATAACAAAAACGAAATAAAAAAGCGAATTCAAAAAAAAATTGAAAAATGATAACAAAAATATTATAAATATTGTTATCGTTATGCTAAATATTTTTAAAAATTAAGAAAATATTAATATAATAAAGGAATAATAAAAAATATTAGAATAAAAATTTGCAAGAAAAAACATCAATTGTGTGCATATTTTAATTTATACAGTAAAAAAAAAAATTAAATATGTAATATTAAGATAATAAGAGAAGCTTAGCTCAGTCAGCTAATCTGGTGGTAGCTACTGTTTGTGCGCTAAACCATGGAGATCTCTAGGTCTTTGGTTCAATTCCCATCGCTGCCTCTTTCGGATGAGACGTTTAAGCCGTTGGTCCCGTGTGCATTTATGGCCCATGTCTATGTTAAAGAACGCAGTATACTCTTGAAAAGAGTAGGGGATTGTCTGCCGGTGTACTGCCCAATCACCACCAGATGGACCCCACTGGAAATAAGTCTTCTTCTAGACTTTCGTGGGCTATCCTTCGTGTTTACACCAAATAAATCCAATCCAACAAAATTATAACCAATATTTATTTGGAAATATATTGATAATATAATACAAAATAATGTGTATATCTTACTCAGTTGTTTGATTATCGTCACCTCCAGCAGGACTTAATATAGTTGGTCTATTTTTAGCAGAATCACCTCGTCTTAGGGTGCCGAACTTTAAAAAAAAACAAAAAAAACTGTATCAATGATATATTTAAGTAAATGTATTATTCTTATTATAAATAATAAATAATTATAACTATTATAATTATTTTATTATTTAAATTATTATTCTTAAATTGTAAATAATTAAATTATTGTTAAAACTATAGATTTAATTAAGTCAATACTTCATTAAATTAATCTATTATTATTTAATTAATGCTAAAATTTATGTTGTAATTAGTTTAAATAAATAGCAATATATAAAATAACATTAAATCACATAAATCAGAAGTGATGTTGTTGGTCTATGATGAGTGAGACACTTTTGATTAACTGATATGCAGCTGTATGCCATTTCCAGGAAATTGGCATGAGTCGGTTCATCCAGGTAAGTATTCATGAAATAGGCATAAACATAAAGTAACTAATATACAGTAACATAAATAATTTACGTTTATCTATTTACTTTATTAAATTTTTAATCTAACAATAAGCAACTACAGACTGGAACTTAAACTACAGTACTTTAAAACTACAGTAAAATTATAATTAGATGATAAAATACAATTTCAGACTCACCCAATTCTTGCTCTTTGGTTTTGAAAAATGTCCCTGCATGCCGATGGGGGCGCGAGCACTGACCATTGAATGGAAGGAAGAAACGGAGAAATATCCGAGTTTACTAAGGGAAGTTTTGGTTGGTTTGGAAACGCAGGCCAGTAGGGTCTTTGGATTCGGGAGTTCCGAGCCTTGGAGAGAGGCTTGGTAGCAGCGTAGCCTATACGATTCTAGGTGGAACTTCTCTAGGTTGTAGCCCCATTGTAGTACCTAGGGAGAGAGGGAGATAGTATTCATAAATATTAAATAGTTTAGACATAGTAACAGTTCAGTTTTCTCTATTCTACATATTTTCAGAAGTGAATTTGGCAGAAACAAAATTTATTGATAATTAACAAATGGTGTGATGAAACAAATAATATTTTTTTCGTTTTTTTTTTTTTTTTAATTAGTATTATTTAATTTACAATACAGTTAAGGTTGCCTAAGTTAACTGCCTAAGTCGGTCTTATTTTACAGGCCATATTGTTGTGTTTTCCATTAATTAAAAATCTGTAAGTCAAATTTTATCTAAGTCGAACAATAATTCAATGGCATTTTGGATTCAACTTAGGGAAGTTTAACTGTGTGCCATTTTTAAACATAAATTAGTTCAAAATGTGGTTATTCTGGCTGATTAAATAATCATTTAATTAGAATATACCAAAACATTGAATAAATATGATTCAGTAATTGATTATTTGATTGATTATATTAGTTAGCGACCTATCTAAATCACCCTCAAATTTACTACAAGTTTGTAGTCTAAAAATAAATGAAATGCAATAACTGTGACACTGATGGAAAACATAGTTTAAAAATAACTCAAAGTAAGGAGGGCCATCCCATAATAGCAAGAATGTTAGGTGCCATGTTGGGTATTAATATGGCAGACACGTCTGATAAACGATACACCATCCTTACAAAAACAGGACCATGTCAAATTCACTATATAACTGACACATGAATAGCAACGTACTGCTGATATTTATTTATATTTATGGCTGTGTTTTGCTAATAAATAATAGACGCGTGCAACTGGAGGAAAATAAACGCACCAACTTGAAAAGCCGCAGGAATTTTGTTCCATTAAAAAATGACGTCGAAATTTACAAGATGGAATGTGACTTATTCGCTGTTCTAGCTATTCCATGAAAAATAGCAGGAGTTTCTTATAACAAAATCACTATCCTGTAATTCATCAATTAATAATCAATTTCAGAGAAAATGAGAATATAGAATACATTTCTAGGCCATATAACTCAGTAGAGCATTTGAATTGTAATTAAAGGATGTTAAATTTAAATCTTGATTTGGATAATTTTCTCCAATAAATTTAAAGTCATTCTTTTTTCCAACATTTTCACAAGAATACAAAATTTAACACTAGTTGGAGGGTATCAAAACTCTTTGTACTTTTCATATGAAAACAAAAATATTATGATTTTAATATGACAACAATCATCATTCTTTTGGAAGAGGGAGGGTGTGACAAGAATGTTTTTTACTTATTAATAATGCTAAAAAAAAAAAAGATTGACCCAAAAATGACAACGTAATGGAAAAATTGCTTCTTTACCTGGTTTTTAATTGCATCTTTATTCTTTGGATCCTTCACAACAGATAACTGCAATTCCGCCATCTTCTTCATCTTTGTCTCCTGTAAATAGAAATTTTTCTAGATGTATATAAACATTACATTAAAAAAATATATATAAATACGTAAACTTGTTTATGTTCCTTAAAGATGTATTGTCCCTTGAAAAGGACAAAAAATAATATTTTAATTAATTTGCTCATTTTGCAGTAACAATCAAATTATTAACTTGATCAAGAAATTATTGAATATGAAAAAAGTGTACCCTGATTTTTAAACTGGATAATTACAACAAAAATAATAAAACACTTCCAGTGACTGGAAGTGTTTCTATCAGTTTTCGCTGTAAAATGATGTGTAAACATTTTTAAATAATATAATTTCAATGTTCAAGTTGATAACTTTTATGTTACTTCAAAATGGAAAAGTTAATGACAAAAATGATTTTTATGATTTTTTGGTATTTTGCATGAGATAATACATCTTTAAACACATCAAATGCTGTTACTAATTTTGTGACTCCAATGTTATACTCATTTTGAGCATATGTGCAGCCCATTATTTAAATGTCAATAAAATATATAAATATAAGACCAATAGGTATGCTATCTACATAAACATTATTACATATGATGTATAAACAAATATGTATGTACAGATAATTCAAATGTTCATATGACAATGACCTTGTTAAATGACCTTGAATGGGTAGTCGAAATGTGATATAATGGTCTAGTGCTCAACTTCTAATCTAAATGGCTTGGTTCAAATCATGTTAAGTACACAGTTTTTTTTTCTTATAATCACAAGCATCTATCACTGAGCTTCATAATCAGACTCATTAGATAAAGTGCCACATAATTCCATTACAAAATTGGCAAAATACTACTTGAATTAATGTACTAATATATTATCATCAACATTAAATTTAGTGACCAGCAACATAATACTCCTTAAGTGTAGTAGAAAATATATTTTGACATTTATAATAACATAGTTTTCTAAGAGAGAACTTTAGTTGACCTAGATTTCTACAAACAGCATAATCATTGAATTTAAGCAGTTTTGAGGTCACATATAAGTACAAAATGACGTTAGACAGTTAAAGCAAAAAATATATCGTAGTTCCTAGTTGTTATAAGCCTGCTCCCATTGAACACAAAATAGGGCAATTTTTTAAATTTTTTTTTTTGGGGGGGGGGTGGTGGTTGGAGGAGGGAGAGAGAGGGATGGGCTTATAAATGGAGAATCCTTATTCAATCAAAAGGCAGATTTACAGCATACACTAACAAGTTGAAGTCAATATCTGATATTATTTTTTATAAATGTCAGCTAAACTAACTCATTCAAGTCATATCCTGGGCTTTTGCCAGAGGCTAGTACATAAAATTGGGTGTAAAGTGGGGGGGGGGATAAGCTTAAACCCAAGGAACTGTGGTATATTGCTTTTTAAAGACTCAAACCCAGGACTCAGAGTCAATTTAAAACTAGTATATATATTATTGCACATAATCCTCTCAATATTCTTCCCATTTCCAAAACTAAAATGCTGAGCAATAGGAATCAATGATAAAGCAAAAACCCCATCATGCCTTTTACTGGTTCTTGTTGGACAAAAGAATCAAATTTTAATATGGAAAATAATCACAGTTTATCTCTAGAGATTCTTTTAAAAGCTTTATAATAACATATTGAATTTCAAGAAAGGTCCTTGATTTTGAATCTCTTCCCTTCGATAATCTATACATGTCCATAAAATCCGCGCTAAGCCAACACTGGACTTGGATCATAAGCCCTTCCTGATGCGCAGCCAAGCAAGTCTGTTAATTTTGTTGTATCATGTTAAGTGGAGCTAACTGCGAAATCACCATAAATATTTCCTAGTATCGTGGAGTTGGCTGGCATTCGCAACAGTGGGCTTAGTATGGTCATTGAACCATTGGTCGGCTCATGGACAGCTCTGGACAAGGTCAAGAATCACAGCTGCTATCCAATTGTCCTTAAGAATTATGGGTAATTTCTAAGCTAATAGATTTATTCGCAACAATTTGAGAGCATTAATTTCTAATGTATATTCTTCTTATCTTTGTCAAAAGTGGATTTCTCCGAAATGCATCAACACCAGTTAAAAATTAAACATCCTGATAAATGAAGCTTAAGCTTAATAGTAATGATGCTTGCCTTCCAACCACAAAATTCTAGGTTCAAATCATGCCAAAAACCAGGATTTGTTTTCTACTCATGTTTAAAATTTTCCCCTGAACCTACAACTCATAACTATAATTTCTGTTGGGAAACAGTAGGTGGATAGTGAACAATTATTCTAGTTTTTAAAAAAATAAATAAAAATATAAATAATAATAAATAACTATAAAACACTTACAGAAATCTTTCTGAGATCACCTATCAACTGACACTTGGATATTTTGTCTGGAGTTAGTTACAATGATTAATTTGATTGATTGAGTGACAGACAAATAATCAATAAGTAGGGGATTGATGAGTGTCGGTAAACTTGTCACCTGACTGATGACTGACAGCTTAATAATTGTCCAACTAATCTTTCACTTAAAGACAACAAGTCTGATAATCATTTGGTCTAGTTAAATGTAATATATTTTGCTAAAGTTAAGAGCAATAGATACAGTCATAATGAGGTCATCTAAACGTGTTAAATAAAAGTTTGTTATTACATATTCAATATCAAGTCTTACACACTCATTAGGTATTTGGTTAGGTGATGGTAGAAGTGTTCCCATCTTGGCTCTGGTTTTAACTTAACAAATTCTACCACCACAACCACCATGGACAAACAGAACTATGAAAAAAAATTAAACAACATGTCTGAAGATAAAAGTAGTGGATACAACCACAAGTCAAAGAAGTGTGCGCAGCTATACACGAACTCGAAGGAAGAAGGTTAGGTATTTCATAATAATCAGGTGTAAAGGCCAAGGTTGTTGCTAGTAAAGTATTAGATTATTATCATGTTTATAAAGTTGCCTGTTATTTACGACATTACACATATTCCGATACACAGGTGGATGGGAAAAAGTTTAATCTACATGTATTAATGTGTTGCGTTCTCTTTGCTGATGACTATTACGCACACATACCCCAACATTTCCATGTCCCATCCAGAGGATAAGACAATCAAAGTAACATGTTTAAAGTAAGGACATAAGCAAAAAGTAGTACTGGGTGGTTTGTAAAGTATGTTCTCTAAGCCTGTGTTCACACCATTAGAATTTATGTAATAAATTCCGGTGGTTTGTCATTTATAAGGATATGATATGACATCATCATACCCATATATGGGCAGATCATACACATTTTTCACATAAAACCCGACAGTGTGAAAAGACCTTTAAGATGAACCATCTACCACAGCTGCATCGCATTTGATAATCCGATTATAATTATTAATTTGTTGTTTAAAGATAATATATTATTTGTGTTTTGCATTAAGTGGGTATTTAACTGTCTGAATTTGACCATCAATATATAATGCATAAAGAAATGAACCAATGTATTTACATTACTAATCTGCTCTTCTAGCTTCTGAAAGTAGTTCCGCAGCAATTTGAGTGTATCATCCTTCCCATGCTGCCTTGCAAACGCTGATGAGCATGCCGAGTGGATGGCTGTGATCCAGTTTTCAAGCTCTATCTGTGTTGGGGCCTGAGGATTGCAAGTTTTTCAAAATTTTAAGCACGAAAAAGTGTATAAAACATAAATCAAAAAGTTATATACTGTAAGCCACAAATTATGTGACATACATTCAAGCATTGGATTGTTACAGGGGCCATGGCTAAATCATTAAATATTAGGGGTGTTCTCCCCTTTGAGAAAAATAGCATATGTTAGATTTCATGCACATGTATTTATTAAAGTATTTACGTTTTCTACACAAGCAGGAACTCCTACTATTGTATGCAGAAATTTCTATTTTTATATGTAGAAATTTATCTCATGTTTTTTCTGTGCATTCATTCAGTCATTCATGATATTGCAAGTTTTAGAATTCTACAGAACACATTTAAAAACTCCTTATAATCTCCCCATTAAAAAAAACAACAAAAAAAAAACCACCAGCATTACTATTTAATAATTCTATATTTTCAAGTAAAATTCCACAGTACATATCGATGGCATTAAATATTATTCCTCATCATCTAAAACCAAGTTAACAGACATTAAGTTACAGACCGTGTCGAATTATTCATGTGTTTTATCATAGCACGTATCATTAAACGTAGACAAATTACCTGCAATAAATAGCTATCTCCGAATGCCGTGCTCAGACAAAATATGTTGTCTTTCTTGGGGTGTTCGGGAACCGCCTGTGCAATACCACCCTCAACAACTAAAAATTGAAAAAAAAAAATAGAATTAATCTAAATGAAAAAAATAATTTTTGTATACCGTATTAAAGAGTGAATGTTTGTAGAACAAAACAAATCTATGCAAGCAACTGAAGCATTGTAAGATCTACAATATTATTGATAATGCTAATGGCAATTTATTAATAATGATATTAATGAAAATTTTTAATATTTTTTTTTTCGGAACATACTGAGTAATGAGGACAAATAACACGTCAGTTAGGACAAAACATCATTTTGCAAACCAACATTGAAAAAACAACACTGAAATAAAATTTTTAATACAATATTTTATTTCATAATAATATTTCTACACAATGACATTAACTACATTACATTTTAACTATGTAATTTATCTTTAATAATAATGTTTTTTTTTAAATGCAAGGATGCAAGCAAATGCCAGTAAGGTAATCTGAACCCTGACCTTTAGGATTACAGTCTGAATCGCAAACCTCTGCACACACCACACCCTCATATTAAATAAGATAGTTAAAATTTTAATCTAATTGTAACTTACCAATAATATGTCCTGTCTCTTATACACATCTAGATGTGTATAAGAGACAGATATTGATGGATATGGCTTTTAAAAAAATATGTTCATTTGAATTTTAATTTTATGTTGTTGTAATATAAGGAAAGTTACTTAAAGAATTGTGCCAGTAAGATATATATATGGCATGAAATGACTATGTAGATAAGATTTATTAAACACCCAAATGGCATCAAAAACTGCTGAATTACATGGCAGAAATCACAAATTACAGTTAAATATTTATACAAAAGTTTTAAAAAATCCATCAGATATATAAATATAAAAAAAACAAAAACATTTAAAGTTTATTATTCAATATTGTATTACCTGGTATTAATATTAAACACAACAAATATTTAAGACATTATTATTAAACACAACAAATATTTAAGACAAATATAAACACAACATTAACAAGGCTTTCAATATGAATTCATCCAAGATGTAATAAAATAGAAAAATATGTATATTACGTGTCTTTCAACTAACTCTAATTAAAGACCACCTCCAATTAAAGACCAGTTTTCTGTGGACTCAATTTAACAAATGTCTTTTATCTTTATTATTCTAATTAGAGACCAAAACTGCTAAAGCCCATGGAAACCCTCAGTCCTAAGACTGGTCTATAATTAGAGGGAGACCCGTATTATTAAAATTATGTAGAAAAGTCAATCAATCAATGAATTACTCAATCAATCATGATAATGCCTTCTATACAGAATCCTGTTTGTGGTATTGATGAGTTGAATAACCAACAATCATATTCATTGGAAGGAGGATTTGTATAGGTGGTGCCTTGCATTGGTGAGTCACCAAGGAGGATTCGTGCGGTTGTTTGTTAACGTGTCCATAACGTTACTCATTTACATTTTATAGCCTTGTTTTCCTATATTAATACCTGGTAGCTATTGTTTAATTGTACATTACAATTATCCATATTTATTAGAAGGAATGAAAAATGAGTAAACTTTGTACAAATTCTGAAATTGATATCTATGAATAATTAATAATTTAAATAATATTATAATAACTTTTCAAGATTAGCATTTGGCATGTGAGTAAGCTATTTCTATTTTTAGATTTTATTGTTTTTCTGTACACTAATTTTTTAAATGTTAGTATGGTGGCTATTGTAATTTATTGTATTTTATTTCACAAAAACTGGTTTTTTTTTCTGGAACGTACTGAGTAATAAGGACAAATAACACGTCAGTTGTGCCAAAACATCACTACTATGGAATTTCCTGATGCAAACCAACATTGAAAAAACAACACTGAAATAAAATTTTCAATACAATATTTTATTGCATAATAATATTTCTACACAATGACATTAACTACATTACATTTTAACTATGTAATTAATGTAAATCTTTAATAATAATGTTTTTTTGAAAATGCAAGGATGCAAGCAAATGCCAGTAAGGTAATCTGAACCCTGACCTTTAGGATTACAGTCTGAATCGCAAACCTCTGCACACACCACACCCTCATATTAAATAAGATAGTTAAAATTTTAATCTAATTGTAACTTACCAATAATATGTCTAGGTTCACTGTTCTCATCAGGGGCATTCTTTTCATCACAGACGAAGAACAATAAAAGAGTTCCTTTCAAACAAACTAAAAAAACAAAAAAAATTGTCCCTGATGATACATAAGTTTCTGGTGTATTGATTTTTGTTATAATATCTACTATTCAAGTTCTATGCATAAACAGGGGCAGAAATAAATGGTATTTTTTTTTTTAAAGCACCGATGTCATTTTTTTAGTTAAGTTCAGATCTACCAGTTAAAATGTTTTATTGTTTACCAAATAACTCAGAAATGAATAAATAACAGAATAAATGATTAAAAATAAAATGTTAATAATTCAGTTGATATATTACCCCAATAGTCTTTCCATCGTTTCTTAGAAGCTTTTTCAACTTTCTTTTTCCGGCACACAAGTAAGGACCTCACGCTTAACCACCTGTGATAGGAAAAACACGACATTACAAATTTTAGAAATTAACAATAAATTTATAACTTAAGCTACACACAGCAAGCAATTATTTATTGAAAAAAAAGTAGTGCGAAGAAACTAAATCTTATACTCAGCCCAGGTAATAGGCCCAAAGTGTTTTTGTTTATTCTGAGGGCAAAAAAAAATCTTAGTGTCTCACTGGAGTTTAACCACAAACCTACAGCTTCATTAGTTTTATTTAAAATATAAACCAGGATAAATTTTGCAATTGAACAAATTTTTAGTATAATTAAAAATTCACACTGTATAACCCTTTTTATCCCTTCCAGTATTATATAGGACAAAGAAAGTAAGTCTTATTTGAAGTTACTGTACTGTTAATATTATTTTTTTAATGTTGTAAAATATTATATTGTTATTTTAAAGAAGTTATATAGTGTTAAAGGACAGAGTTCTCCAATACAGATTAATAAAATTTAATAGCATGTTATTTTATCTCAAATTCATAATAATATTAATTGTTATCTTACAGATGTTATGTAGTTTTGAAGGACACAAAGTTATCTATTAAGAATAATACAGTTAGTATGTTGCTATCTTCATGTCTCGCCACATTTTTCCTGGCCTTCCCCATTCGATTTCCTCTCTATTTTCGCAGAATATAATGGTACCGGATAAGATAATCAACAAATGACCGCGAAGTCAACCTAAACATCCTGCATGTGTAAACCTAGTCTATACAACAAAAATTAAATAATTATATAAATTAGCAGTCATGTTGTTAGTCTATGGTTAAGGATATTTTTCTAAGGGGTGGGTCGATTCGATAGCCTTAATTTATTTATCTGACTCACCTCCCCCACACACACACTAAACTGTATAATGATAAACTTGTATTGCTGTATATTTTCATGTTTAATTATCTTCATTATTCACATGTTAATATAATTGTCGGAATGAAATAAATTTGAAATGAGTGCGATACCTGGAAGAATTGATATAATTATGCCAGGTTCATTTTTAGAACTTACCTAAAAAAAATAATGGAATTTTCCAACCCCAGGGGCACATAACAAATAAGCATATATAATAAGCCTCATTCCATTATTTTTTAGGTAAGTTCGAGAAAATGAAAATAGCAGGCCTATATTCATTCATAAAGGTTTTAGGTATTCGGAAAATAGATTTTTTTTATCTTAAGGCAAAATCTGGTTGTTTCCTAGCCAGATACATGTGGCCATTTATATTCCAGAAAGGCAGCTACAATGAGGACAGGGAGCAGCTTATTTGTTGGTCTATTTTAGACCTGGCTTAGGCAAAGGCATCCATGGACACTTGGTTAAATAATGATTATTATTCTGTAGGGCTTAATATTTTTGTTGTGGGAAGAAAAAAGAAAACAAGGTGACATAAAAAAATGCTAAAATTAATTTATATTTGGCTTGTAATAATTAGAATGGTTGGTTCAGATTCTATCAAGGCAAGCTTATTTGCTGACATGATATCTGAATATTGTCTGAATATTGTATACATAAAAACTGAAAGTTAGACTATACAGTAGATTTTATCTTCTTTCACTATGGTAGATAGACTACCAATCTTAATGACAGCCTAGAGTCCAAATCAGAAAAATAAAGATCCAGCCTATAGAATCTTAAATTATATTAAACATTTAGAAATTATAGTATAATTAAATATAACTTAAAAAAAAAAATTATTACCTTTCAATCAAAAATTAGAATGATTTTTCAAATTATAACAGATACTGCAGACCAATAAATTTAATGGTTTTTTTTATATATCGTCAGCAAGAAATATATTAAACATTTAGAATTAATATAATACTTTTTAAATAAACTTTAAGAAAATAAAAAATTATTACCTTTCAATCAAAAATTAGAATGATTTTTTAAAAAGATACGTAGTACTGCTGTCCCTATAATCTTTGTGCAGACCTTTAATATTTGCAGACCAATATATTTAATGTTTTTCACAAATCATCAACAAAATTTCAATTAATACAGTAACCTCGTTTTTACATACCTCAGATATATGAACCCTCAGAATTCGTATGGACGATGATGTCATCAAAGAACCCCCAAAATACTGAAAACAATTTCAGGGCCACCATAACGTAAAAAGAGATTATTAGTTCTGTCTGTTTATTATTTCAATAATGTACAGTAAAAATAAACAAACCGTATGCAAAGAATTTTCATTCAACAACAACGTTGAATGTGTCTAATTACGCCCTGATATAATCTAAAACCACGTAGACTGAGTGAGATGAACTAGGCGAATCCCCATATTTACGTACGCCCTCCGGTCCCGTACCGTACGTAAAATCGAGGTTCCACTGTATGTCGAGCTGTGTATCATTTCAACTTGATCACTTAATGTTTATTTAATCTTCTTTCATGATCAGTTTAATTTCTTTAGTTAATATTTAAGCGTTTTTCCAGACTTTATTCCAGACTGATTACCTTATCTGCATGTGAATACAAAAATAAAAAATTCCCCAAGAAATCCTAAAGTTCAAAGGTGATAACAATTAAGAGGTAAAAAATTGATAGCCATCTATCAGGCTTAGACAGGCTAGGTCTGCTATATGGTGCCAAGGGCAAGCTTTTTTTATTCACTGTAAGATGTGACCATAGAGAAAATAGATGACATACTGGGCCTAGACTTTGGCAGATAAATTATAATTAGAAATATTAACACACAGAAAATTAATTTCAATTTCCATTATTATTTTCACTCTCGCACTCAGAAATGATAATATGATGACGAAGACAACTTTAGATCACACATCGCTAAATCTATAAATAGAGGAATTGAATACAAAATCTCACTAGATTTGTATTCAAATTATAAATATGCATCAACTCCTTCATCTATTAAACGAATGGATGTAATAAATCTACCTCAAAAAGATGCCGGCATGCAATTTAATTACACTATTCCTCAAAGTTGAAATTGTAGTAACATACGGTAGTCTTTAAGGCATGGTTTACTGTAGCAGTTTAAGGATAGTGGATAAATCTTTAATTCAGACATTCTAAAGCCATGTTTTGTCTGCTATTGGTCAAATCAGCGGTCAAATTAACCATTTCCCTAGTAATTTCACTAAATTAAATGCGAACAACAAGAGTAACATTCTCCTCTATAAAATTACTGTATGTTAAGTTTAACTGGGTGAATCATGTACGTGAATAATATTTTCAGAACCAGGCTGATTTCCCTGAGCAGTTTGCATAATGTAAAATGTTATCATGTATTTTGTACACCCAAAGATTTAAATTTTGACTCGTTTACATTATGGTTGTGCATTTAAATGGCCATTTGGTTGTGGAGTTTATTTAGTCACAATCTTGTTGTTTATGTATTAAAGTGCGAAAAGTGGTATGATTTAGCATTATTAGGCAGGACTTTTTTTATACCTTTTTTCACGAACCTGCCAATATTTATTACTTCGAATATAAATAAAATTTTATTTTTTGGCCAATTGGCACACCCACCGCCACAAAGAAAAATGTAAAAAAATGTATATTTCTTCCAAATTTTAATAAATTTAATGCATTTTACATTCCCATTATTTACATTCAACAATAACATTTTATTTTTAATTTTCTCCTCCGTCTCGAAGGTTTTGGCAAAACCATTTGCGAAAAAGGAAGAATAAATTTTTGTTTCCACCTTAAAGAAGTCACGCCTTAGTAAAGATAAAGACACCTTCGTCTTGAAATAATTAATTTTAGTTAATCGAATGCGAGCATAGATTTAGGAATATAGTACGTGGAGGAGATTTATGAAGACAGCAAAGATTATTAATGAAAACTAGTGCCAATCAGTCCATTCTTTCATAAACAAATGGAAGCATGAAAATTAGGAAGAGTACAAGGACAAGTCTAACCATAAACAAGACATAATAGGTACCACGTATGTGGTTGCACATTTCAGGAAATTAATTTGTTTAATGTGAACAAGAGAGCTGACCTGACCGTTGTTTCAAATGTTCAATATCATGGGACTAATCCTAAAAACTTTAAAAACATGTTTTGTAAGGTCCGATTACTATCTTGTTATGAGGAATAATCAATGAAATGTTAGGATACATTTGTGGTACAGAAGCTGTAGTACTGTACATCAGTAGTTTTCTACCAAATGGCTGCAATTTATGAAGAAATTCTTCATGCGAGATTATAAAGCCTGCACAAATATTAGAATGCATTTATTGATTTAAACTGTAAAAAATCTATAAAGGCAAATGGTTGTGAGGCGAAAGTATAGTAAAATTAAATGTGTTGTCTTTTTGTATTTTGCTATTTGTTGCTGTTAGTAAATATTAAAAAATTAACAGCAAATAAATGCGCTTTACCCAGCTTTCCGAGTCGCTCCCCGTTGTCTTGAGCAAGATGCCTTCGTCTGCTGGGACCCCATAGAATGGCTGTCACCCTCCCCTTCATCTTCCTCTTCTTCATCCTGTGACACAAAGAAGAAATCATCAAGGATTAATGTGAAATAGGAAGCCAAGGATGTGTTAGTAGGAAAAACCAATACAAATCAAATCGCATATGAACTGACCTACTTATCAATCCAGTGAATTGTAATAATTTGACCCCATTTGACCCATAGGCCTACTTAATAGTTCCTGAATTTTATTCTCAACTCTTAATGAACTTTTCTGGAGTGTCAATTAAACTAGACGACTGTCCAATCCGAACAGGTCCAGTATACTGTATATACGCATGTCCTACAAACAAACATGTCCCACAAACGCATGTGTGTGTGTACCTGCGAACTTAGCAACAATAACCAAGGGGAGGGGCTTAGTACAAAGGTCAATTAATAAATCACATTAAGATTCAAAATTGGTCTAGAAAGGTCAATTAATAAATCACATTAAGATTCAAAATTGGTCTAGGCAAATTCTACATTCATAGCAAAAATCTAATTGAGTGACAATAATATAATATATAAATAAAACATAATTATGTAGTTGTAATGTTGGCGCCATATTAATTATCTTGTGCACTTTTGTTCTTTTTAAACATGTACAGTACAGTATATAAGATTTTTTGAAAAATAAATTTCTCCAATTTAGATAACCAATCTAAATTGAAATATTATACATACAAGCATTAAAAAAATAAATAAAAACAATTTATTGAAAACACCATACTGGCAACAGCTGCATGACTGTTTTGCTAATCAACTCTTCTATTTCGTAATTATTTTAATTTTGGCATTATGTAAATTATCTACTTAAATGCTAGTACTATTAAGAATAAGCAATAATACAGTAATAAGTAAATAATAATGCATCTATTAATAAAGGTGATAAGTTGCACTTTTAGGTAGAGGAAGAAGGTGTTGAGGTGATAGTTTTTCTGATTGGTTTTACTCTTCCTAAGTTCTGTATCTCATGGTAAACTTTAAATTGAATTGTGACATAGTTATTTGCCAAAAGAACAAATGAAATTAAATAATATATCACACACAGTACCTCAGCACACATTAAATTACAAATAGAATAAGTGGGTTTTAAAAACACCAATTCTGTAAACAGCTTAACCGGGGGGTTCGGATTGGGAGAAATCCTTTCGACTGTAAAGACCCGATTTAATGAAGATCAACACTTTAAATTGTATAACGTAATGCTGATGTAATGATACCATAGACCAGCTAACTACAGGAAGACATTGTTAAAAAACTACAGCTTAAAAACCATGCAAATATTTTAAATTTACAGATGGGTTAGTTTGTGAGAGAGTTTTACTTGCTTGTGGTGGATCGTGCTGATTTCCAACCCAAGAGATTTCTGTTACATGTAGGACACTTAGAAACCCTTGATCATCATAATACAGTCACTAATTCACTTAATTAAAAAAAAAAACAAAAAAAAAACCTTATCTACTTTTGTAATGCATACTTACATCATCACTAAGGATTTTACTAAAATCATCAGGCATAGAACTTTTGCCATCTTTACTGTTAGCAAAACTGCCCCTATCTCCATTAGACATGCTACTACCGCTGTCACTTCCCCCACCATTTAAATGGGGTAGTCCGTGGAAAATACCAGAGGAGCTTGTCGTAATTGTCTCTGTTCCACTGAAACCGCTATCAGCGTATTCGGTTGAACTCTGCAAATGCATCTGGTATGCTTCCAATATTTCTGTTGTCGGTTCCATATCGATTTGGCTGTCAACGTCCGTGCTTATGGGACGGGAGTTTCCAAGTCGCGGGCTCTTTATGCGTCGTTTAACAACATTTGGCGAATTCCGTGGCAGACTTGTATCTGTCATAGCACGCGAACGAAATGTCTCCAGTTGGTCATAGCTGGCACTCTGTTGTTGCGTATCTCGGCCGGTTCGATCCAGCAATTCAGTGCTAACTACAACCCTCGGAGGTGTGTACGCAGCGTCTTCGTGGATGGTATCAATGTCCTGCGAATCAAACTGTTTATTTATAGATGGCTCACTTTGGACGGCCAGATATTTGTTCCCTGGTACCAAGTTTTTATTTAACGGGCTTCCAACAGACCTTGGCGATTTATTCACAATATTGTCGTAAGCAGATTCCTGTGATTCTGTGACAGTAGAAACATTAGGACTTGTGCCAAAAGAATTGCGATATTTAGACTTACTAGTATTACTTCGTTTACGTAGTAGTTTTGCTTTTATTCCTTGCGGTGCGTTAGGCGAGATACTATGGCTTTTGGTTCGCTCTCGTTTCTCTGGACTCTCATCGCTAGCAAACGAATTATCCTGTTTCAATAAGTCATCAACGTTTGTAACTGGAATAGAACAATCTGGAGAATATAGTCCGGAATTAGATGCTTGCGATGACGAGGAAATATTTCCAGAGAGGTCCAACTTACTAAAATCAATATCACCAGTAGGCTATAAAAAGATTTAAAAAAATGAACAACTATTAATGACCAGAATTGTTTGATGCTATTCTGAAATATCTAAATCATTTCCAGAACCAACAGATGATATGGCTTCCATAGCTATTAAAAGATTACACATCAAATTGGTTCTAAATACACCTTGCTTAAAACATGACTTACTTTTTATCTCTTCCGACACATAATGAGTACAACATGCACTGCTGCAATCACACCGATGATAAACGGATTTATAGGCACGTGGAGGCAGATTAAAGAACAAAATTCAGGAGATATATCATGAAGAGTACATCCAGAAGGATTTTCCTTGAACTAGTCCTTAACACTTTCCTTACAATGTAGCTTTGACCTCTTTACACTTAATGAGTTCTGTTAATTTCTACCAGTAATATTACTCATTATCAGCTCTAACTTATAATGAGTCACTTGAATTGAAATGTATGGGTACTTACTTGTTTATTTAAATATCATTTGTAACCCAAAACAGGAAAACTAAACAGTTATGTTTATCGCTATCATTACCTTTGTCTTTTAAATACCAAATGATCACCACATGAATAATTTACAAATAACACTTACATTTATAACCATAATATTTAAAAAAATTTAAAACGTGTGGAAGTTTAAAATAAATTTTAACAAGGACAAATGATGCAAGGTAGTAGTAGCAGATACCAAAAAACAACTACAAACAAGCCAATAAGAATTGATAAGCCACTTTTCAACACTTGATTACTGAATTTGTAATAAGTTAACTATGGATTTTACTCCCACCTACGGTTACCATATTATCAATGGTAACATTTGTTGAGTGAGTGATGGTTGAGATTGGTCTTTAGATTTAGGTAATTACTGCAGTACAAGGGTTGGCATAAAAATGGGTTGGAAGGGCCACTCTGAACACAGATGGATTGCATGAGATTTCCAAAGTGCTTGCAATTTTAAACACTGCCTTTTACGTTTTAGTTTTAAGGTAACAGTAAATTCTTATAGATGCTCAGTATTACAGTACATGCCACAACAAACAAGCGGCTTTTTTAGCTACAGAAAGTAGGCAGGCTGCACACATATTTATTTTCATGGGCCGCAACAAAATTTCTGTTTGGCCAAATTTGTGGCATTTTCTAACCTGTGCTGTAGGGGAGGGGAGGGGGGGAAATTACAAACCAACCAATCCTGATTTCAAACTGTGTCACTATTCTTTAGCAATACCACCTTTTTTGTGTTTTTAGCCTATATTTATAATTAATAATGTCATTGCCAGGCTAATAAAATGCACAATGCTAAGCCTCTATGCAATACACATTATTAGTTCTGTCATTAGCTAATGGCCATGGAACACATCAGCTCCCTGAGAGGGAATACTGTTTTTAGCCTAATATTTTTAATTAATAATGTCATTGCCAGGCTAATAAAATGCATGCTTCTAGGCTTCCATACACTTCACATTATTTTATCAGCTATTGGACAATGCCTATGGGAACACTCCACTCCCTGGGGGATCATTACATGATGTTGCAGCCTACAGTAATCAGCACACTGGCAGTCTAGCCTATCTTTCCAATACAAAACCAATATATTAATATTATTAACCTTCAAAGCGAACTGATGATTAAGTGTATTCAATGGTGTAGGCTAAGGTTACTATCCCTATGATTAAATTTTATCTTGATAATTTGACCTGGTTTATCACGTCACTGTGTCGCACCCTCACATATATCATATCACATCCAAAATAAATTTTATGATAATCTTACAGCATGAGTTGTAATAATAAATATAGTGGTGATACTGTACGTCTATGATTCAGGATCATGATATAGTATTACTAGTAGCAGACATTTAATTTTTTTAAATACTGTACAACCAGAATAACCAGTAATATTAATAATAATTTAAAATTATTATCATACAAAATTCCCCAGGTACAGTACAGTAGTTGAGTATGTGCTATCAGTTTCTGTGGATTTATTAAGCATTTATTCCCAGGACTGGGAAATAATAACGTTAAGTGCTTACAGGCCCAAGAGATAATGGGCTACAGATTTATGACCAATGTAGTAATACAATTATAATAATCAATATAGATTTTACCTATGCGATGGGTTATCAAATTTTAAAATAATTTTTTCAGAGGAGTCAAAAACATATTTTAGGGAGAGAGGTTAAGAAATGGCTAAAGAAAAATAGAAAATGATGATCTGAAGGTGTGATCAGGAGGTTTAGGAGAGGGATTGACCAAGAAAAATATAATTTTTTAATCTCTTGAAAAAATATGAAAAAAATTACCCTAAAACGTATTCTATTTATTAGAATTATATAATAATAATAATAATAATAATAATAATAGAACCCCTCCTCCTTTGGGTACCTCTATTAAGGGGACATCATTTATTAAGGGGACAGTTTATTCTTGGTGCTGAAATGTCCCCTTAATAGGGTTCTACTGTATAAATTGATCTATACTATTCTCTCTCAGTGCTAATTTTGCTTTACCTAATTATAATAGACTAGAAAAACTCACCATATTAATCATTATTTTTATCAATTCAAAGACAATATACACAATAATAAATTATATAAACACAAACATATCAGTAAGAAATGTAAAGAAAATAATATAGAAATTGAGATATTACTAACCTGTAATAACAATAACCATTATTTTAATAATATCAATATTATTTTTATTATTATGATTATTGTTGATTGATAATCCACATTGCAAATGCAAGTTTTAAGAAATCTCTAAGGTAAGGAACTTAACAATTCTGCATTTAAACCACACTGGTTCACTAGACAATTTTATCTCTACAAGTTGATCAGTTTAATAACGATTCACACCTGATAATGTACTACCGGTTCGGTAGTCACCCTAGCTTATCCTGGCCAAGATTTTTCATAAGGTTCACTAAACCCTTGAAATAGTACTAGATCTTATCTGGCCTTCCCGTTTCCTGCTTAACTTCCGTCTACCTCATTTCCCATTTAGCGTAAAACTTACTTAATACGGATAACGGATGTAATCCAGAACTTGGATTGGGAATCAAACGCTAACCACATCCATGTCAAGAACATTCTAATGATTTTATTCTGAGCATCACCTTAACATTAAAGTACACTTCAAGTACTGTATGTTACGAAGGGTCCTGTTTCTACGTCCAAGAAAAGAATACTTTTTGGCAAGGCGTAAAAACATGAAGTAGTTAAGTTTTGAAATATCCTTCAGTCATCTTAAAATGGCTTGGGTCTAATACTGTAGTAAAACCCTATTTAGAGCAGCTTAGCTACAGTAAGTCGGCTAAACTGGTGGTACACGCTGTGTGTGCGCTGAACCGTGGAGATCTCTAGGTCCCCGCTTTAATTCCCATCGCTGCTCTCCTTGTATTTCAGTTAGAGGGCTGAAATGCAAGTTACGATAGCGCACCCTCTTTCAGATGAGACATTTAAGCCGTTGGTCCTGTGTGGATACTATGGCCCATGTGCATTGTTAAAGAACGCAGTACACTCTTCGGAAAAGAGTAGGGGATTGTTCCCCGTGTGCTGCCCAATTCACCATTAGAAAGACCCCACTAGAATTAAGTCTTCTTCATACTTTCGTGGATTATCCTTGGTGTTTACACCGAATAAATCCAATCCAATTCACTACGGTAGAAAATTGTTTACGATAACTTAAAACACAGAAGGCAACAAAGCCTTCTTATCTCAGTAGAGAAAATTTTCAAAAAGTGTTCAGGCATACTTTAATGTTATATGCCAGTTACCAATATTATTATGAGTATGATAAATTTATCATATTTTTAAAATGTAAAAATTAATTAAAGAAAATGCTTGAGATCGGAGCTTAAATTCAGTGGATGTCATTGGTCAGTATGGTATAAAACCCTTACGGCTTCTGGACATCTTAAACTGCGCTACCTTTTTGTTTAGTCAAACTATAAACTTCTACTAAACATTTATGAATACGGTGTGAACATGTGCCTTTGTACGATAGCATGTAAGTCTGTATGTTTGTGGATATTCCTAGACCTGTTCTGATTGGTCGATTGTTAAGTTTAATTGTTACTCCAGAATGTTCCATTAAGAAGTTTTGCCAAGTGTAAAAATAAAAACAAAGAATCAGGCAAAAAAAAGATGAGTAACAGAAACGAGAAACATATTTTTATTTCTATCTGGCAGAAAATCATAATTGTTTATAATCATTGTTATTGCGCACAATTACCAAAGTTTGTTTATGCACTTAGAATAATTGACCTGTTCATACATACAATTTAAGCAATAATCATTATTGACAATCCATTTAGCCTTCTCATCGATAAAAGATGACATAATGGTAGAAAAACCTGAGCATAATTCACTATAATTTATGCCTCTTCTATTCCTTATTAGGTCATAACGATTTACTACTACGAACTCCTACAAAATCAACACCCGTAGCTACTATAAAACATACGTCAGATTATCGCCATTAGTTGTATTTGCGAATACAACAAATAGTTTATGTAATTTTTTAATCTTAAGTTACGATAATTCCTTGTAATATTAGAGATTTAAAGTTGGGTTTTTTTTTCATCATTGATACCTGGCCTTGGAATATGAGTAATGTGTGTTTGCACACTTTACCCATTAAAGCCATTAAGACCTACCTAGGGGACAGGGCATCACAGTCTAATGATTTGATGACGATAGCGTAACTCATATCAAACTAAAACCACCCAACTGTGACACATTATTTCCATGATGTTGTAAGAATTCATTCAAGTATAATGTAATCTTAGCTATGCAATAAAAATAATGAAGACATTAAATTTAGTATTCCTTTACATTTCACATATAAATTATGAAATTTAGTTATGTATAGCTGCCTATTTTTGCCTCTATCGATTATTATTAGAAATTGTCTGGCGTATATGCGAGTCAGTGATATTCATTGCACATATATGAGAAGCAAGGTATGCATAATGCGAGGAATTTAGCAAGTCTGGGTTGATATAAATGCACCTACATTTTAGATAAGGCTTGAGAAAACTTTCATATCCAGTATGAAATAAAACAATTATAAAGTATGTGTCTTTTATAAAATCTACAGTAATAGGAAATTAATATAAAAATGTAATGATATATGTATTATAATAAATTCCAAAAATATAGTATGTAATGTAAATATTTTTCTCACAATGTTGTCTTAATATTATTTTAAATATATAAGTATGATTATTAATTTGTTTATTCTGTCTAATTCTTACCAGTTTTTTTGTCGTATACTATAGTCATGATGTGCCTACCGTATATATATGGTTAGAACAAAAAAAACAAAAAAATTTGTGTTGGCCACATTTTGACAAAATTCCAAAAATAGGTAGGTCGGTAAGAAAACCTTTTTTTTTTTTGTTTAACTAACAACCAAATATGTGTTTACGCCTAAAAATTAGAAAACACACACATAATACAACAATTTTGGATTTGAATCCTGTAACATCCAACAAAATAGTCTAGCCTTGGACTCTAGCCTCTCCAAGGCTATTCCAGCCTTATTTGCTCATAAAAAATATTGTACTTTGTCAAAAAAATAAATAAATAAATAAAATGCTGACCCTTAATTTCATAAAATTTTTAGCTTATCAAAAAAAAAAAAATTTATTTATTTATTTATTTATTTTCTTTATTATAAGGTTAGTAGATAATGTTTGAATTATCTCAATCATGTTTAACTTTGAATATCAATGCACCAGCAAACAACCCAAAGGTGATATTTTCCTTCAGCAAAAATAAAAAAACCTCCCTCCCTCATCACTTTTCCATCCAGCCTAGATAATATTTTTTATAGCACCTTACCAATGCATACTGTGCCATCAATCTAAATTGCATTTCAAAATCTTAGTTTATACATTGCCATAGTGATGAAAAGAATCACTATGGCAATGAGGCCTAATGGCAATGGAAAGGTCCAGAAGGAGTTTGTTTTTTATGAGGTCACCCCAAATTTTGACAGGCTTCACTCTAACTTTAAAAGCAAATACCAGTTACCAGTTACCAGAATCACAAACTTGTTGTAGTTTACCAATGACTAAAAATTTCCAGAATACAAGCTTAATTTTACGAATCCACCCTATAAATTGTTTACTGTTTCTCTTTTATTATATGCATTTTTGAAATTGCCACGATTGTATTTTTGTTATCTTGAGTAATTTCCCGCACGATTAAAATCGTAATGGTACTGGTAATAATAATAATAATAAATAATAATAATAGGCATAATAGTAATAACAAATATTTATATATCGCCAATTCTATATTAATCAAAGGCACAAAAGTATGGACACTGAGGACAAAATGCTCTTTCCGAACGTAACTTCCACCTTGGGAACTAACATCCACCGCAGTAACTCATTTTCGCCTTGAGAGAGATTCAAAAATTTGCCGTGATGTTTCAGTTTCAATTTGCCATGATGATGTTTCATTATTGTATTTGCCGTGATGTTTCTTGAAAATGAAATTTGCTGTAATGTTTCATTTGAAAATGAAATTTGCCGTAATGTGTCACCTGAAAATGAAATTTGCCGTGATGTTTCATTTGAAATTTGCCGTGACACTTATAGGCCACTGTAAGAAATTATATCAGGATACAGTACGTACTTTATGGCATAATGATGAAATCTATCAGTAAGGTATTAAAAGGTAGTCTGGTGTTCATTAGTAAATGTAGAGGAATGAGCTGTTAGCCTCGGTATAGTGTGGTAAGGCGGCCAGTTCCTTTCCACGCCGCCTTTTTCCTCCCAGTAGTGAACCACCGGGTACCCATTTATACTCTTAGGTGGAGAGAGATAAATGTAGGTGAAGTGCCTTATCCAAGAACACAAGCGAAATTAACAGCGAAGGTTCGAACCAAAACGCAACCACCGATCTCACTACACTTCTTTTTTTTTTTATAAGAACCAGTAAAATTTTGCCCAGGCTCAGTGTTCTTATTTTTTGGCCGATTTCAGGCTCAAAATTTTCTTAATTTGTTCTTATTTTACACACTTTTCAAACGTAGAAAATTATTACTGCACAGCAAAAATGGGCTCTGAAAAAAATGCCCTGGAAAATTTGCCTCAGAAAAAAGGCCTGGTAAAAATGACCCCAAATGACAGTAGGCCTACACCTGATTATAGGGGGTATTACATAGTCACACCTACATTACTGCACATAAGGTACAGATATAATTTTTTTGGTTTTTCAAAAACCTCATTTGAAATTTTACCTCAGCCTCAATTTGTTCTTACTTTGTTCTTAATTTTTAAGCAATTTCAGCCTCAGTGTTCTTATAAAATGTGTTCTTATAAAAAAAAAGTGCTCCAACATACACCTCCCTGAACATACTATCAATACAATTATTATAATATAACTCACATTACACTATACTAGTGTACAATTATAAGTGGATGCTGGGTGTTTCAAAATATGAATCATATCATTGATTATAATCATTCATATATCAGTCTGGAACGGTACATCTAAATCTATTAGGGCCTGATTAACATATGGTGTTATTGTTGTATTATATTTTGATACTCTAGCTCCCATGGCATTCTGTGATACTATTTGATGTGTGGTGTTCATAAGGCATTGTAATCAATACTAGGCTTGTCAGCACGGGGGAAATAATTATATTTTGCATGGTGGCTGAAAACTGCTCATCTCAAAACCAAATTTAATTATGTTATGTTGAAGTTGATAAATGTTTGTTTAAGTTGGATTTGAAATGATTTTAACTTAAAAATGATCTTCATTTTTAAGATTAATTTTAATTAATTTGAAAAAAAAAATTATAAACAAACAAGGTAAGTAACTGCACATAATACTGTACACTTGAATAATTTTTAATATTACTATTTTCATTCATTAATTCTAGCAATTATAATGACTTTAATAAATTTGTAAACAAGAAGACAAATTTCATTAAGCCACAAGGTAATAACACTATGGCAATTATAATTATTATTATTTTATAATTACTTTTTATTATTGATCATTATTCAATACACATTTTATTTGTCCAAAACGATAAGGAAGTTTTACTGAAATGAATGCAGTAACAAAGAAAAAATAAAAGAGTTTTAACTGAAAAAAAATATATTACTGTATATGCCTCCATCAACAAAGCTTGTGTGCATAAGGTCCCTATGACATAGTTCTAATCTGTGAATATATTGCTTGCTAGTTCTAATTTATTTATTAGTTTGAGCGAAATACTGTAATAAGTTAGATCTCAAATATTCCCATAGGAAACAAGCATACTGGCATCTGTTCACACGTAGCAATCGTGTGTGCTAATGACACATAGCAGTTGCGTGTACTGAATACAGTATATGTGTTCAGTTCACGTAGATCACATCACAAATAGCCAATCTATATTTTCATTATTATTATTAGTAGTAAAATGAAGTCAGTGTAGCAAAAAACAAAAGCATTGTGTTTACGCTACTCCTCACAATTAAAAAAAAAAATTAAAATTAAGTGAATATAACCAAATAAAGAGAGAGAGGCTATGATTGTTTCACCATTTTTTTTAAACCAAGGAGGTTACCTCCTTTTTTTTAAACCAAGGAGGTTACCTCCTTTTTTTTAAACCAAGGAGGTTACTGTACCTAAAAACTTGGATGATAAAGGTCCCTTTTTAAGATTATATTTATAAGTTTGATAGTGATGGTTGATAGTAATCCCTAAAATCATTCCTATGCCTATTATTGTAATTGGGTTTTTTTTTTTTAAATTGTTGACTAACCCTGAAATTTAAAATGTTATTGTCTTTGGGTAAAAAAAAATCTGTTTTGCTTGATGTCCTCACAAGACAAAAGGTAGGCCTACAGTATGTTCAATAATGGAGTAGAGTTGTGGTTTGGTAGATAAGATTCCTGGTTCAATCCTTCACTTGTGATCAGCAGTTTATTTACAACTAAAACACTTCTACTCTCAAGCCTCGCACTAAAGCTCTTTCTAGTTTATCAAATAATTTTCTTTGACAAAAAAAAAACACCAGTTGTATGCCCATATATAGTCATGATGTGCCTATATATGGTAATGATGTGATGTCATCAATGACCATATTTAGGTATGTCACATGTTTTTGTCAAATATAATTTGATAGTCTGGACAGGTCTTAATAATAATAATATATTAGTCTTATACTGCACATAGCATATCTTGCCAAGGCCTATACGCTTCATATCATTAAGCATAAAACATTGAAACAAATGCATTGAATGAAGACATAGTACTAGGCTCCCTACGGATGGTTCCATATTGTAGTAGTAATAAGCATTCAAACCTTTCAGGGATACTACTTTACTTACAGTATACTCTTCAGAGACTGCATGAATAAGGCCGGCAAATTAATTTGACGATTTACAACATTCTGCCCAGGCTATCAAATTATATTTGACAAAAACATATGACATGCCTAAATATGGTCATGATGACATCATATCATGACCATATATAGGCACATCATGACCATATATAGGCACATCAGGACTATATATGGGCATACAACAGTTTTTTTGTCATAGAAAATTTGATAGTGTGGACAGATCTTAAACTTTGAGTTCTGTAACTTACCTTGCAAAGTGTTAGAAAATGTTCAGCTTCTTCAGGTGACACGAAGTTCAAACCCCAAGCACCACCGACGCTAATGTCCCGCCACTGCACAAAACAATCGCTTTTCTTCTCTATCTGCGTACCTGGTGGCAAAGAATAACATTATCAGAATAATTACAGAAATAAAAGCATTTTCAGAAGTCATTCTGATTCAACGGTGCGTAAATCACCAATTAAAGCAAAGGGAATAATGCGTTGAAAATGATGTAAATTGTTCTTCACACCTTTTGAATGATTTCAGACAATACGTATTGTCAAATGGTTATTTCAGAACATAATGAATGAATCAACACAAACTACCTATAGTCTAAAGTGACCCAAATAATGTGTACTGTTAACTATAAAGGATTGGTTTCCAACTGATTCTACAGTAGGGGGGCTTTCATGTATGACTTTAAAGATAAAATGTTGGTTTTATCTTTCTGAGGGTTGATTGAAGAATGCCAGTATGTCCTGGTTTTAGAGTTTAGGAATGTTGTTGTTTGGGTTAGATTCCCATTATCTGAAATCTTTACATATGTTTTAGAAATTTGTTTGATGGTTTCAACATGAATGAGCACTAAATGTTAGCAGGCAACCACTGAGGATTTAGCTAGGAGCAGACACAACAAAGTGCATTCAGGCACTTAAAGATAAAATGTATAACAAAGATGTTGGAGTTGTTGAACTGACAGGTACAGCAAGGGTGAAATGTGATGGAAAAAATGTGTAATATAATAATTATCATAGATAACCTTTTTTCTGCTCTTCAAAACCGGGTTTCCAAATGTTAAAACTTTTTAATGGTATTTTGTTTCAGATATTTGTTTAAATAATGAATTGGGTAATAAGAATCCCCTCTTGAACACAAAATTTTATTTTTTTACACAAAATGTGAATAATACATGGACCTCGATACATGACATGTCCCACTTTTGGTGGAATTGTCTCGCTTTCGTTAATTGTGTCCCGCTGTCCCATCTAATCACTAAATTGTTCCACTTTTTGACAAAATGTTTGAGTGGTAAAAAAATAAAAAATATATATACAGAAATGACAAAGTTTAAAAAACAATGATAAAATTCAACTCACTCACAGACAATCTGCCACAATATATAACAATTTAAGTGTAATTAAGTACAAGATGCAAGTCATATTCTACCCTATTACTCTTTCATGGCAAGAAATTGATAAGAATATAATTCCGATAAATCACAGCTCCAATGATCTTGGTTTACCCTTCTCTGTGGTTTACCTCAAGAATAGGCTATGGGCTAGTTTTATCAAAATCAGTATAAAGTAGACCAAGCAACTCCGATTGGCTGTATGTTAGTTTTGGAGCATCCACCACTTGGCCTAGTAAAACTGCCAAACTTGATCTGCAAATTTCACTGCCAATAACCAACAACAATATATAAAAACACGACAAAATGGTGCTTGAAATCCACAAATAGTGAATCAAATAAAAACATGTTTTCTCAGTCAAAGTGAGGTTTTGCTCCTAACATGAGGAAACTGCAGCTAACTACTGTACGTCAAAAATCTGTACTTTTAATTTTATAAATTGCATTAGGAACCTTTTTAAAGCTAATCATTTATTAATCAGTGACCAATGGTATGAAAATCAGGAAGAGAATTATTTACATAGTTACAATGCACACAATCAATTTCATCGTAATTTTGAAATAATTCAACCTGGATTCAAAGTATAAACACAATGTTAAGTTATTTGTAATCAGAACAAAAAATGTGCAATTCTTATATATTTTGTTTAATTACCAAGAATTGTGTAAATTCTATCAGTATGTATAAAAGTATTTATAAATAAGTGATTATCATCTATGGTATTACCTATAATAAAAATACAAAATTTTATTGAAAGTTTCAATAAGTTATTGTAAATTTTCAATGCGACAGAAATTAAAACAACATCTTTTTGCTCAAAAAACTAATTTTCAATTGAAAAAGCAATAACTGACTGAAGCTGAATTTAATTTAAGTCGTCAAAAAAGTTAATGAATTAAAATTCACTTTTTACTTTTGTTTCTTTCTATGCTAATCAAACATTGATTTAGTTAATCCTTTTCAAAATAAACTAGAAAAAATCTAAATGTTTATGCCTTTCAGGTTAAATATAGATTAAGAATAGATTAAAATGATGATTATTAATTAAGTCTCCTCAAATAGTACTGCAGCTGTTCAAAACAAGACAGCACAAAAATAACTAATTTCAGAGAATTTACAAATTATCATGTTCATAAACTATCACTCATAAATTGCTAAAATGTAGTTTATAAATCATGACAAAAAATAGTTAAAAAATGCAAGAATAGTTACTGATGATAATGTTGTTAGCAACTCTGGTAAAAAAAATCAAAAGAGCTTGTTCCTAAATAATCAATATGCCATAATTCAAAACTGGTATATTTCTAGGAGTAATTACACCTAATAGCAGAGTAACAGTAAGTATACTAGGTAATACCTACGTGAATAGGAACTATTTATTATTCAGATGTATAGCCAAAGTACCATTAGTATCAAATGTACTGTCACAGCAGACATGGTGAGAGGATTTGATGAAATCTAAAAAAAAACTGGACTGGAGCAATCCAATACTTACTTTATTTGATTAAAATCAATCTCCATTTTAACAAAGAAGTAATTTACATATGAATACAGGAGGCGGGAGCAATGGGAATCTATAGTGAGGTGTGCATGTGTTGAACGAGTCACTGACGTTTGTGTGACGTGTGGAATAACACATCTGTTACTCTACTCTACCTTGATTTACCTGTTTCGCTATTAGTAAAATTATGGTATCTACCACTACCACCAGTAATACCCTGGGAGATAAATAATCAGAACATATTTGGGGCATTCGAAGGATAAGGTTTATGGAGAGGGACGATACTGGAAAGGAAAAAGGAGAATGGGAAAGAGAACATGGAAAGGATACTAAAACCTGCATTACTTTTTTGTAATCATATGTTTACTTCAAATGCAAAACAACTTTAAAATTACAAAATTTTCTTGTTTTAATTCTCAAATCAAAGCTCTAATAACTTTCTTAAAAAATTTTTTTTTAAATTTAAATTGAAATATTTACTAGATAAAATTTCTTTAGAGAAAAAAGTATCTATGAAAAAAAAACAACCATACAAATCTTAACAGCTCCTTACTTACGTAACACTCTGCAGATCTGGCTACTTTGTACTGCATAAGAACATTACACATAAGAAGTGCTACTTAGGTTTAATTTCAGCATGCTGATCTCGATTGATCCAAACCGAAAATCACAACTTCAAAACGACGACTAAAACAGTGCATTTCTACTCAAGTGATCTCATGAACCAAATCAAGTGAAGTTGGATGTGAACGCATTAAACATGCTGCGTGAAAGCTGGACAAAGCGCACACGTGTAATCGCCCAACCTTGTGATCAACGGAGAAAAGTGTCATATTTTTCTTTCGTAAAATCAATTTACGGTGCATAATGTGCCTAAAGGTGTATTAATTAGAATTGATGGAGGTTAACTTAAAGAACATTTGCGATGCAATTATTGTCGAATTGAGGTCAGAATCATTTCTCAATTTAACACGTTGGGCAATGACCTTTGACATAGTAAACACTTTATTTTCAAATCAGGTTAATGTTTTATTCAATCACTACACAGTCCATATGTTGTGATTCTATTTCAATGTTACAACCAACTTCTCAATTCTAGTCAATGCTATACAGCAGTCCACTCTTACATTAAACAAAAATCTAAATATATTTCTAATTTGTCTGAATTGAAATATAATTATAAACTAATTATATAATTTAATTTAAAAGATCAAGAACATATTTTCTTCTGCAATTATCTCACATTTGAAATTGCATTTTTAGGATAATGTTACTAAATTGTCATTTTAGCAATTGAGATAACGTTATAATTTCTGATCCACTAAAAATCAAATAATAATGTACTGTAGCCTAGATGGTTCTCCAAATGTCTGATTTCTGCATATAAAAATGAAATTATAAGAACACCATAAAATTTTAAATATTTGCTTATACGGTCTATAAATATCTGTCTTATAACTTATTGGTTACAATTATTAACTTTTTTGGTTCACAGTTGGTTCTAAAATTATTTGGTAAACTTCATTTTTGTTTTTCTATTGTGTATTTAAGCATCTATTGTAATTATTTAATATTTTAAATTTACCACACCCTCTCATGCATCACAATAAAGGTCAGCATTTTATGTATTCTGCCAAGGAATACTATTTATATTATTATTCTGGACATGTGATGCAGTACTGTAATTTCAGGATATAAAAATAACTACTATATTTTCAGATTTTATGCTCCCAACAATAATTTAAGACTCTTTAAATATTGTATTTGGATACACCTAACATTTTAAGAACATGTTTCAAGCGACCTTGCCTCACATATTCTCATATAATAATCAATACTATATTTATAATTACATATTACAGTAGGCCCTATTGTATTGAGATATTTCCGAAATATCTTACCTTCAAAATATTAATATTTTTCCCTACACCAGTGAAAATGCAAATGTAACACCACATCCACTGAACTCCAATATCAAATGAACACAAAATATACACATTAATTCTCAGGCCCGGAGGCTTTCAGCTATTGGTTTCGCTTCGTACATTCTATATGGTTTCATTTTGTGTACGCTTCTTGATTTAGCATTATCGGAAAAGGTTAATGGTTCAATTAAACTGAGCGACATTACCGTTTTTTTGAGTACTTTTGATATTTTTATCCAAGTGTGACCACCAATGAATGAGTACTGTAGCTTCATAGAAAATAGCACATGTGCATGTGATTTGTGGTTTATTTTAACCATCATCACAAAATATGAGAATAAGCAGAACTATTGTTTACATTTGAAAATCAATATCTATTGTTGAGTAGATCCATTGGTTTATTGAGAAAACTGAAGAATAAGGAATATCATTTATAATGCATTGTCACAATAATAAATAATGGTGATGTTTATAATATTATAATTACTGTATTATATTATTGTACTGTAATTTACCTGAAGATTGTACTGTATGCATAAAAGCTTGACTCAATAAACTTTACTGGAATCTCAGTTCTACCAGTTTTGAATGGAACTGGGTGATATCACCAACAACTTTTATTAGCAATTTTATTGCCTATTCAATGGGAAATACTGTAGTTTGCAATTGTTTATGATACAAATTTCTATAGGTTTCCCACGTTAGAAGATGTCAATTACGGGAGGTTTTTGGTTAAACAAACTTCCTTATCTCATCTAATCTTATATTTCTGATGATGTTACACATCGACACTGATTTCCATGAGACAATTGATAGGAAAGGGGTAAAAAATAGTAAAAACATGCAGATATAATGAATTTGCAGGAGATGGGTTGGTTTCTGTGAGATTCCTGCTTACTTGCGGGAGAGTAGGAAGCAATCTTGATTTCCGTGAGACTCCCGTGACTTGCGAATATTTAGAACCCCTGATATTTATTTTTGAGAAAACATTTCAACCATTGTATTTGTGGTTGGCATATTTATTTCATATTCAATTATCGCTGACAAAAGCAATGGAAAATTTGCGTTCCTATGAGGTGTCCGATAGCCATGGATACGCTGCTGGCTATGCGCTCACCCATCCTCACCGACATATTTTTGATGGCTTATGAATTGTCATCTTAATAACCAATTAAATCACCGAAATAGAGATTACTTTGATTAACATATTCTATCGCTGAATCTCTCATGGGAAAGGTGAATCTGACTGATTTTACGCATGTTTGGCTCCAGCGCAGTGAACACCGCAAAGCCTTTGTGATACGCTCCGCTAGACACGTAACTCCTTATCCAGGGTTGCTTTACTGTACAATTCAGGCAAATATTCCTACGCAGTCTCCATAGAGAAACATGTACTTAGATCAATATGTAAAAATCTTACAATTTAACTTTGACCACGATTTTAAAAAGCACATTTTAAAAAGCACATTTTTAAAAGCACACAATTTACATACCTACAGTACAACTTCCAGTATTCCGTAAACATGTAGGCTGGTGGGGGTGGGAGGTAATAGGAAGTACCACATTATTGGGATTGAATTCAGCAAATTTCTCATTTTTCGCACCCCCCTCCCCCCACCAACCAGACCGAAACCAGCCTACGACCTTGCTAATAGGGAACTTTTGATTTGCTCTACGATATGACGCTGGAACGGAATTACTTGACCATCCTACTGGGTGTCGTAGGTTCTCTGCATACGTAGATTTGGTCAAATTATGTCCTAGAGTCCACGCGACAAGGAGAACTTAACATTTTCGCATGCGCAGATGACTTTTAGTGATGTCATTAATAACTGAGATGACACAGTACAGAATCTAATAGTCTCTAAGATACTTGCCTGTTTCTATTAATTACTATCATTAGGTAGTTTTCGCTGCACGACGTTAACCTTAACTTAAACGTCAGTACACTACATACTACATGCTTGCTCCGCCCCTTTTGTAAACAAATCGAAATACGCATATGCAAACCCACGTACGTTGAGCACGTAATATCCTGAAATTAACGTACTCGGCAACGTAAGATGAATAAATTGTGACGTTATCCGTTAATGTTAATGTTAACGTCGTACGGCAAAAACTACCTATTATTACTCTAGTCCCTGAGAAGTATAGGCCAACTCCTCATTTTACGTTCAAAATTTCACATACAAAAGTTTCACCCATGCAAATAAACACATTATGATATAAATGAGAGGTTCACCTTACTTTCACAAATTAGTTTCATCAGAAAAAGAATAAAGATTGTCCATACAAAGTTGAAAATGGTTTAATAAACATGGAATTTCTTGGGTTTTATTAATTAGTAACATTGTTTTTATTATCAAAACTGTTAATAATTAACAATTTGTTATCATTTATAGCTTGTTCTACTGTATATATAGGGCTGGTGTTGACTGTCTATTTCTGTAATTTAATAATAATATTAATTCATTTCCTTTTTATATTGTGTAATGCATACATATTTTAGCCATTGGCTACCATTTTTCTATGTCATACTAGAACAAAAAAAAAAATTAATGGCTTTATTATTAATATAAACAATCATTAGTATGACCATTATATTTTGTTAATGTCACCAACTGTAAATCCATTTATTACTTAATAATCATTTACTATATTTGTTTAAATGATAATATCACTACTGCTAATTTCAGGTCAAGAAGAACATCCCTTCAGTAATAAGTTAGATGTATTATACATTATAGTAATGTCACTATGGTAACTGCTAATTTCAGGTGAAGAAGAACACCACTTCAGTAATACGTTAGATTTATTATGTTATAATGCAAATGTTCTTGACACCAAGGAAAAAAATTATTTACAAATTGAGTGAGTTATGTGAGAAAAACATGCCAGGGATGTCACAACACCCTAATTAATACTGTAGGCTGTACATGAATGTATTACCCAAGAAATAGTTGAAGAGGTTGGGAAACATGTTTATTTTTTAAATTGGCCTACAGTATTTATCTTCTTAGTATAATTATCTTACCTGGTATAGAGACACTGACATCCATCCAAACATGATCCATCTCAGACGCAATAACACGATAACATGTTGGCACGCCATTACTCACACAGTTCACGACAACATCCAATAAATTCTCAGAAAGTTTCTCCCATCGTTGTTCACTGTCTTCCAAGACCAGAGTGTAGGCTTCAGCCAAGAGTCTGTACATTAAATATAGAATATGTTAACCAACCACATTTGGCTAATATATTGTGGTGAGCAAAAGTTAAAATCTGTTTCAAATCAACATTTAAACAATGACCGATTCATTTTGGTGTATTTTTTTTTTTAAGTTTACTCCAAACCACGACAGAACAGTGCAGTGAAGTGAAGCATGGTGCGACTGTGTTTAAAATACTGATGTGAGGTTTACAATAGTCTTAAGTAAACAAGAATCAACGGTTCAGGGATCTAGCAAGCTGTCTTAAAGACCTCTTGTTACCTGAGGTTTACTTAAGAATCCTTATTGTCTGCAGCACAATGCATTCCTGTCCTATTTATTGAAATCCATGCCCATCTAAACCCCCATACATACAATTGAATGCCCCATTCAACCACATACACGTAGCCAACTCAAAGAGAAAATACTTACATATACCATTTAGTTTTAGGCATCTCTAAAGTTCTACACTCCAAAGACTAATAGGAAATTTGTCAACAATTCAGGAAATAATAACCGCAGTTAATTTTGAATTCATACAGTAGTAATAAAATCGCAACTAATTTTTTTGCTTGTTAGCACAGTTTACAGTTTAGTTTATAATGTTTTTGTAGATGCATTACTTGTCACATTCACTTTCGATAACATATATAGTTTATAATTTCCTAGAACTCAAAGGTGATATAGTCTGTGCTATAACAGACTTAATGAAATATCAATATCTGATTGGCCTAGTTGTTATTGTTTTAAGTAGGTCATAAATTCTGATACAAACAATTTTTTTTTAATTTATAAAAATAATGAATGTTTATGAATGCAATGGGATGAATATTTTCATGAGTTTGACTCTTCCATTCAACGGAGACGAGTTAAATGCAACAGTCAATTTTTCAGCAAATGAAAATATCCTTTAAAAAACATTTATTATTTGTTTTATAACATACCTAAAACAGACGCTTGTCATTTGGTATTTTATGAAAAAAATCTACTTTTTTTCTGTAAGTCCAGTGTCTTTTTAACCAAATGATTGTAATAGGTTGAGCCATGCAATGGAGCGAAACGTATGGAACTAAAAAAACCATGGTGGAGCTAAACTTCATGATGAGTGATAAAATGGTGTAAATAACCAATGTCACATGATACAAAATCTACCAATCAATGACAAGGATCTATGTAGGTGTGTTATAAATCCTACCACTTCTATGTATTTATTTTAATTTATTTGAACTTACACATTTAGATTGGTGGCACTCAATGACAATTGGTGTCTTCATAAATAAGAAGGTGCAAACTTAATTAAACAAATATGTAAAATAGGAATAATATATTATTTCAATGTTTTGCTTCAGCAAATTCCATAGGAGTGATGTTTTGCCCTACTTGACATGTTATGGTACTTAATAACTTAGAACCTCCCAAATAAAAAAAAAAATTAAAAAATCGCAAATGATTCGGATGGGAATTGAACCCACAACTTCAAGTTAACTAGCCTGGTGTCGTAACCACTACACCACCGAACTTGCAATAGCATTGCAGTGCCCACTGCTATTTGCAGACCAGATTCAATACTAGTCACTAAATGCAAGCTCAGTGGTCTAGTGGTTATTTAGAAGTCACTCCCGTTTCCATATTGTTTGCAGAGACATTAAATTGGCCTGGTATTTAGTTTAAAAGATTTTTGTAATAAGAAAACAGGTCAATCATTTTTCCATGTAAAGTTATATGATCATTTTATATACCATAATTTTTCTATTTATTTTTGATGTTTGTCCTTCTGATTTTATCACAGAGGAAGATATTTAAATTGTGTCATATAAACACACAAACATAAGTAAATAACAGCCTGTGTTCCACATTTAATACAGTAGTGTATGTTCCCTAATACTTTATTACTTTCATAATTATCTCCATAAAATGCAAAACAATATGTATATCGCCCTCTATGGGTTTCAATCTTAACTCCATTATATAAATTTACACTAAATTATTTTATACTTTCCCTAATTTAATCTAAAGCTTATACCTGTCAAATAATGATTTAATTAATGAAGATAATTAATTCATTTATTAATAATTACAGCAATTGCCATAGAAATCATACCCATTTCTGACTAGTAGTATTACATTTTTTGGGTTTGAAAATTTGTTAAATACAAAATCAGAAAAATTCCTTTGTAAATTATTTTTTAGATTCTAACAGTCAAAAATCAATTAAGGACGCAATGCTAGAATTAGTGATAATTACATTAGTTGTTAAATAACAACAGAAATTAAAACATTGTTTCAAAGGCAACACGTAAAAAATTATCTCTTTATATCACCAAACGATGTCCATTAACAGTACATTAAGCAATAACAGTACAGTACATTAAACTCTTTAAGTTTTCTTTTTTCATCCATAAACCACAATTAATTCTGTAAACACTTGATGTACTTTCAGACCTTTCTGGCCAACAGTACCGACAACCTTACAAAGTAAAAATTACTTGAGAAGTTCAGTAAGTATACGATTGAAAGTGTCTTTTTAATGAGCTGATGTATACAAATCTCGAGTTTGCACTTATTGTTATCAAATGGCCGTCATTTTCAGATTTTACGTCGTTACTTTATTCTAGTAGTACCATCACTTGAGATGGAAACTGATCTAACACTGCCAAGATAGAAAAATATGCAATTTCATCATAATTTACAAATCCATAGATCCATTTTTTCATTTTTTTCTTTTTAATGAAAAATTGTGATTAAATGGAATATGTGACTATGTTAATTAAAAAATATATATTTTGTAGCAAAAAAAAAAAGGACTAGAACAAGAAACCAATACTGTATTTTGTTTTTACTTAATAACTTGCAAATGCAAAGGAAGAATATAAATTTTTTTCAAGAAAATTGTAACAGGAACAGTTGTATACTTGTGGTAGGCTTGAGGTAGACTTATATATGGGGAACTATCTAAAATTGTGGCCATCTTCATGAACCCTATAAACTATATAATCTATATAAAGAGATATGACTTTTACAACATACTATACTACCCTACAATTTAAGACACGCACAAAAAAAAAACCTACTGTAATATTTAACAAGAAGAAAATGGAGACTTTGGTTACATTTGCTTAAAATGACAGTTATCAAAAGGGAACTAAACTGATGATGACAATTTCCTAGAATGTTGAAGAATGCTATCATCTCTGTGAAAATAAATTGTCATATATCATCACAAATTTGACATACGAGCAAACATGATGAAGAAACCAATACTGTATACTATTACGTAAATATTCTTTATGCTATTACCATTATATAAATCCAATACAACAACCTTTATAAAACAAAAATTGGACAAATTGGTGAAATTATTTTTGAAATCAACTTACTTGCAATAGTTTTCCGGGACAAGTCCATACACATGAATTTTCTCGCAAATATCCATTGCAAATAACAATGTCATCCATCCAGTTGACAACCACGTACGAGCTTCTCTCCTTCAAAAAAAAAAAAAAAAAGACATAAGAACGTTTAAACTTTTAAATTTAAATGCAAATATAAATTGATAAAAATGTATGCCTAATCAAATGTACAGTACTTTGGTAAATGGAAGACTCCTTATAATGAACAGTTGGAAACTCTATACAAATGCCCAGTTCTTTTTCACACTTTCTCCTTGTACTTTCTTGCTTAAAAATCTCAATAAAACAAAGGTGACTCCAAATAGAGAAAGTGAGGCCATATTACTCAATGTTTCGACTTTATTTAGTCATCATCAGGAATAAAAAACACAGTGAGAGTAAGTACTAAAAATGCTACAATATGCAATTGTCAATTATCAATTTTGTGCTTTTTCAATTTATTTAAAAACCTTTGTATTATTTATCTCCATTAAAAAAGGAAGTAAATAAATGTTGAATTGAAATATAATTGATGAACCATAAGATAATAATAAGCAGTATTGTGAAAAAATCTCAATTTGGCTACAATTGTCAGACACTGCAATTACTATTAAGCTTGTCATTCAGAAAATTTGTTTTTCAAATTTTCACACAGCATTATGTATTTTTTAGTAGTTATTCTAAATTAATTTACATGCAAGCAGTACTTTAATTCTCATAGCTGTTTCATTATTCATTGATTAACCATGACAATTGCATTATGATCACAAAAGCAAGCCTGAAAATTACATCAGCTCGCTCAGTACAACAATTATGAACGTACTAATGTAGCAGTAGAGTGCAAAGTGAGAAGCTGTAGACTGGTGGTTAAGATGTTTGCCTTCCATTCCAAGGGTCCTACTGTAGGTTCAAATCCTTTGAGGTATCAGTATTTTTTTTACTCAAAACTGAAGACAACTCAACAAAGCCTCCAAAATATAATTAGTCCCTGAGATTGATAGAGGAGCATCGTAACCATAATATTACAGCTCTTCTGGAAATTGCCATGGTTACAGTATGTAGGAGTCACTATATCAGCACATATCACTGCATATGTATAAGACAGATATTATGCATCTGTTGTTGCTATAAAATATCTTCTAGGCTGAAGATTCAATATATCTTTTTAAAATCTATGTAAATTGGAGCTGCTATTTTGCAAAACCTACTTCAGTTCAGCACAAAAAACATTATCATTGCACTTTATTATTGTACTGTATTCTTCAAACTCAAATGGCTAAAAAATGTTTATAGTTCCCTCTATAGTCTGTTTTGAATGGGCCTACTGAGCACTGTCATGACCTTTTACAGTAAATAAATGCAGACTGCATGTTAGGCCCCATAAAAAAAAGTATTAGTTTATCACCCTATCAAAGAATAAAAACTGAGGAGGGAGGTTTTTTTTTTTTTTTTTTTTTTGTGCTAATCCCGCCCCCATTTTACCGATGTCCTCAAGTAATTCAATGGTTAGGGACACATATGTAAAAAAAATCATAAGAATGGAATAAAATTTATATTAACAAAATCTGTTTTTAATGTACCAGTAAACATATTTGAGCTTTCCAAGTAAAAA